TTTTTTTTTTTTAAAGTCCGTTGATCTTGCCTTGTTCTAGGTTTTAATATTTATGCTAGTGCCGTTTTTTAACTATCGTTTCGGTTCGATAATTTTCAAGTGTTGTTTTTATTTAGATTAATAGGTTTTCCTTTTATTTTCGCCCCCCCCCCATGAAATATATTGCGTTATTTAATCATTGGTTTTGTTTATTAGTTGATTTAGGAATCGTAATTATTTTTTAAACTTGTTTTTCTTGTCTAAACTTGCAAATTTTTTTATTCTTTTAAATTTTATTTTTCTACAATTTTTTTCCTTTTTAGATTTAGGAGTGCTTTTCTTTTTTCTCTTACTTTAAAATGTGTTTACATTTTTTCCTTGTAATTTGGGTTTGATAAAACATCGATTAACGACACTTTTTTGTCGATCCAGGAAACCGGGAAATTAAGACATCCGGGATAGCGATGGTCCCGAGCATCCCGGATAATTGGTTCTTTATTGTACAGACATTAGTATTGAATTGGTTTTTTAAAATAAAATACTTATTCAATTTGTTTATTTTTTAAAAGTTTTTGTGTATTTTTATTACAGTGTCGGGTTTTTGAATAATGTTTTATTAAGGAAATGGTATTTATTTAAAGAGTATCTACCTAATATAGTTTTGTGTTGCTAAATCTGTGTTTAATTATTTTATTTCCATTTAATATTTTTAAACAATTATTGCTCTATTAGTGTGTAAAATTTCTTGCATTCTTATATTTAATAAATTTTTTACTTAAAATTCCTTAGAAGTGCCAAATGTTGCATACCATGCACCTTTTTTTACCCCTCCTGAAATCTCCTGAATTCTTGTTAGGGAAACTCCTGAATGTTAATTTTGCTAGGTTGGCACGTCTGCATATTTATTTAAAATTTTTGTAAGATGTAATAAAATCTTGTATGATAGAGATTAGTTTGAATTTATCTCTTAGTACTTGTTATTCAAATTTATTTTATTCAAATGATATTTTATTTAATATAATTTATTTTCTAGTTTAATTTGTAATTAATAATTACTTTATTAATATTCTGAAAAAATATATTTTTTGTAGTTTAATTTTCCCTCACAAAGCTCAGCGTTTTCAAGCTGCTGTAACATGATCATTGCTGTCTGGTAATTATAAATTAAACACATAATGAATATAATATTCATTAAATATAGTTTAGCTTAAATATAATATAACTTAAATGTATTAAAAATAAAAAAGCGGGCTGTCTGCAATAAGCATAGTAATGTAGTCAGTCAGTGAAAGCTCTACGGAATTCTGCAATTAGCAAGATACTTTTTTTTCTGTAACGGCAGGTACTGAACTTTCGTTCTTCACCTTGGAAGAGGTCGGAAGTGTTGATCATTTTAACGTTACCCAGTGGGTACCTGTGAACCTAAGTCACGGAGGCGAGCAACAATACTCATGCCACACTGCCACAAATACCCGTTCATAGGGTGGGCCACATTCACACATCACACCCAACAGATGACAACACATAGAGAGAAACATCCATGCCCAGAGCGGGATTCGAACCCTCAGCCATTGGCTTCGCAGTCAGGCACGCTAACCGCTCGGCCACCTGGCCGACATTAGCAAGATACTGGTACAGTTGAAACATGAAAGATGTGCCATGAAAGATATGTTTTGTAATTTTAATCTTAATTTTTTTTTAAAAAAAACAATCCTTGAAATCACTTCAGTTTATATTCTACTAAGGCTGAACAATTGCAAACATTGAATTTTGTATGAACATTGTTCATGAGCTCTTTTTCCTCAAATTATTTTATGGGCAATCGAAACGGGCTACAGGTGGCATAGAGCAGAACTCTCTACCTATAGCAACACTTCACATGCTTTCACCATTAGCGTGTGGAGAGTCATATAAGAAGGCAGTATGTTAGTTTCTGTCTTGATTTTGAATTAGATTAAAGTCTTTTAAGTTAGGAAACTATATGGAATTGACAACTACATTACATATACTTCTAAAAGAAAGTGTAATGGAAATTAAAAAAATATTTTTAGCAGTTTAATATGAAAAATATTGTAGTACATTCCTATACAACTGAAAAGAGGACGAGAGAGAAGGGGAAGTGCCAAAGGCATGGCGCTGGTCTTCTCCCCTGATGGCGTATTCGAGCGTTGCGATTGCCTATATCTATTTATTATTTTGTGTTTAGATTTCTTATAATTTCAAAGCAATTATAATTATTTAATCAATTAACATATGTTATCTATGTAATAAAAAATTGTTCTAAATCATTATCAAATGTTCTAAGAATTTCCTAAAATTTTGTAAAAGTGGTTATCCTAAGATTTTTAAAATTTTACTACTAGTCCTAAATTTATATGTATTTTTCTGTAAACTATGCAAAGGATTAGTTTGATGTAAAAATGTCATATTTGGAAATACCGTGGCTTATCATTTCATGGCACCAATCCCTTAATATTACGAATGTGTTTAATATATCTAAATATCTGGCTGAAATTTGTCAACTGGAAGAAACATTTTAGATCTTAAAAAAATATTATTGTTCATCATGATGAAAAAATTTAAGTTCTAATTTCTAATACAGTTTAAGATGCCTTTTTGAATGTTATGTAATTATGATTTGATAAGATATTTCTTAACATTTTATTAAACTGTTCTGTTTGTATTATTTATATTAGGAGGAAAACTCTTGGAATCTCCCAACTGACAAAAGCCCTTCTCACAACTTGAAATTACACAAACATTCTGAAATACATTCAGATTATCCTGTTGCAGAAGAGGAAAGATGCAACAGAAATTTTTATCCTCATTGGAATGATTCCAGGTGGCCTGAGCAACAGTGGAAAAGACAACCAAATGAATTTAGGTGTGCACTCCTTATCAATGTTTTTTTTCTTCGGATTTATTGTATTTTGATTTTGAATGTTTTTGGATTTAATATGATTGTAAAAGCAACTAATAAAATGTGAACATGCTTTGAAGCACATTTTTTATACTTTATCTGTAAGCATTTTAATTTATTACATTAAATTAATTCAACATTCAACATTTATGCAAAAGCAGTTGTATTGAAGAAATTTGATTTTTCAAATATAAATATTTTCCAAGGGAAATATTTTATTGGCTTATAACTGGTTGGTGTGATGCACGAGGGCAGAGGTGTAAATATTGTACACATTTATTCTATATTCCTAATTGGTTGAACGTACCAATGTTTTATCATTTTTAAATATTTAAAGTAGTTTATTTTTTTTTTGCACAGTATAGTGATCATTGTCTGGAAAACTTAAGTTTATAAAAATATGTTTTGACACATCTGTTTTACATTAAATATTTTTTTTTTCAATACTTTTTTAAAATATATATTTTCCTAACTCTCTCATGTATTAATATTGCTCAGTACTTACTAAATTGCTCTGAGTTTTAACTTCCTTTTAAATATTATAACTTTGTTAGTTATACCAAGCTATTAACACAAAATTAGTATTCCAAATTATGTGTTCCAAGATTTATAAGATCTACAACTGCACTTTAATGAATGTTACTGTTAACATGAAAAACGAAAGAAGAAACCGAAATTTCTCTATAGAAGCATTACAAATTTTTTAGTAAATCTAAGATTACTAATTAACATTTCAGTAATGCAGGGCCAGATTAGGGGTGGAGTACTGGAACTGCAGCCCCAGACAAGGGCGCTGGGATCGGAAGTCATTTTGACCTCACAAAGATTTTCATTATTCGGCAAATTTTGCATGGTTATTCATCATTATTACAAAACTTAATTTTCTTCCTTTTTTATTTTTAGAAAATACAAATGAAATTATTCAACATTATGTTTTTATTTATTTTAGCAATGAAAAATAATAGTAGTGCAAAAACATGTACAAGTTTCATTTCATATTTTTCTTAACAAATCTAATCACATCCTTGCCATAAATAAGTTCATTTTTTCAATCACTCATTCTGCAACTCCTTCAAACAAGCCAGTTTAATCAGAAATTGAGGTATAGAGGTATATAAGATGGTAATGAGCTCTTTTTCATACTTTATGAAATAGAAAAATTCGAAAAGCATAATAGTGAATAGGTAAATAGAGTTTGGCTAGAAGCTGAAAGAAAACCTCACTTTAATTTCATACTACAAAAACTTATCTTCATTTTTAAATACATAAAAATTTCTATGATGAAAACAATGTGTAAACGACACTATGTTGACTGTTTTATTTCCGAGGTATTTTTTCATTATCTCTCTAGATTAGAAAATTAGGTACTGCAGCTGTCACCACTATTTCAGAAGATTTTCACTGAGCATGCTTCTCACTGTTAGAACTCAAAAACTATAAGATGAAACAATAAAAGAATTTCCATGTTTCTACAGCAATGAATCTGATATCAAAACATAAATTAATATTCTGATATCAAAATGTTATTGATACAGTTATTTTACGTCAAAGTTGAAGATTAGCAAGGGAATAACGATTTTTTTGCCTCTTCCTGTAAATGACAGACTCGAAATTTAAGCAGAGTAAATTTGTTTCACTATGTTTAAATTTAGAGTTGAAATAAATAAATAGTTTTCATTGACAGTCTTTTGGATTTTTTTGAAAACTTATCACAGTAAAATTTTAATTTGCAAATTAGTACTTCTATGGCTAAAGATAAAAATAAAAAGAAATTTTGACCTTTTTTTAAAATTTTAAATTAGTTTCAGAGTAATTAAATGTTAAAAATATTGGCGTTTTCTTTACAACACTGAAAGGTTAAGAAAGATGCGTTTTTCTTTTTTTTGCATTGTTTGAACAGACCGAATGTATAAAAAAATTGCTTATTTTATTTATTATTAATGAGGGAAATATTTTATTTATGTTCGGTATTTGATCTGGCTGATTTATTTAGAATTTGGTTTGTGAGAAGGTGGAAAATGATGTCTTCATGTTGACAGTGAATTAGCAGTTTTTATTTATTTATCGATGGGTTAATTAATTATTTTTATTTATTGACTAGAATAATTAAGCCTAAAGCCGTTCTATAAGTAATATTTGGTTGAAAAAATTAATGTGTTATGATAATGTTAGCAACAAAATAATTTAATTTTTTTTATTGGAGCAACTGAATTACATCCTTATATATACTTTACTTTACAAGGATTACAGGTTTAACGTTACTTTTTGTAAATTAACTGATTAATATATTTTAAGTGATCTCAAAAAAAATTATATTCAATATTCGGCAACATTTGCTGAATTAAATATTACATAGTTTGTTTTCAAATAATAAATGAGATGGTTAAAAGTTCTATTTTTTTATACATAAAAATAATTTTACTTTGGTAATATCAAATCTATTTCTTAAGCTGATAATACACTTTATTTTATTATAGATTAGGCTTCTAATAATATGCTTGTTTGTTGATATTATATAGAACATTTGAACTTTTTAAGAAGTTTTTCCTGGTTTTAGCGAAATAAAAATAGTAACAATAACTGTAACCAGAAATTTCTTAAATTTCATCAACACCTAAAACCACATCAATGATTTTTAAATAATTTTTATGTTTAATTTAATTAGGTATAATATTATTTTGTTCTTCTGCCAAGAACATCTGTTTTGCTTATTGCTTCAAATATTCATGATCTTAGTCTTTAAATATTTGTCATGTCTAGTCATTTATGTATATATTTATATATTATTGTTATTATTAATAATAATAATAAACTAATAATTCTTGTTTAGGGAACCACATACTTTTCCTCCTCCATATCCTCCGTCAAATCAACATTCAGAATATCATCAGACATATATAGAATTTCAAGACACAAGAGGCCATCGCTTTAGTCCATCACATTTAATTCATGAAGATGACGGATATAATTCTCAAATGAACTATGCTAAATCAAGGTATATCTTCTCATTCCTTCTAACTATTCCAAATGCAAAAATACTTTCTACTCTTCTTTCAAAGTTGTTTTTTAATTAAAAATCACCCAACAAATAATATTTTTTAGAACCCCCTAAAATTTTTGTAGCAAATATAAATGTTGATTGTTTTCCCTTTACTTAATTACGATGCAATTGCATATTTTTTTAAACATAAAACATATGCACATTAAATATCCTACAACACAATACTTTTCAAGATGTTGGTTATGCACAGTGGTGATCTTACCCAAATTCTTAAACCTATGACTTACTTCATCAAAGTTGAGTGAAGATAAAAATCACTGTTAAAATGTCAAACATTCTTTCTCATATTTTAATATTCCTAGGAAGAATTGGACTATCCCATGGATGTCTTATGTGTAATTAATGGTGCATAGATGGAATATTTGTGTAATTTGTTTTTATAAAAAAAAATTTATTTAAAAATACAGAGATTCTGTACTCCTAATATTCGTGCAATTTTCAGAAATGTCTATTTACTTTGTTTTTAAAATAACAGAAGTTGAAATGAACAATTAAGACACTGTTTTGTTGAACATTGATAGTTCTTAAAAATTTTGATGCTATTACTTCTTTGTTAATTATAATGATCAGCATTTGCCCCATCAATGCTTTATACCTTATTAATTATACTTAATATTTCTTTGTTAATATTAGTTAATACTATTATTAACGACAGATTAATAAGAGCTAATTTTTTAATGTACAATCAAAAGTGATGTTTGGTCATGTAAAATTATTGTTCGGGTATATATATGTTGTTGCCGAACTTCTCTGGCAGCACTCGGAAAATTGTTTCAATTTTTCAAGCCTTGATATAAAGAAATATATATGCATGTATATATATAACTTTCTATGGTGAAATAGTTATACCAATTTTTAAGAAACATTTTTTCTTGAATGAAGAAAAAAATATTTATTTTGAACTAATTTAGTTTTTATCTGTAGACCTTATAAAAGAAGATCTGGAAGAGGTGCAAGATATGGCTTCCGTGGATCTTGGAGAGTTAGAGAAAGGAATCCAAATCCTATGAACACTCAGTTGGAACAACCTCAAAATCAACAATTTCATATACCTCCACCAGGTTTGCTGCCACAAATATCTAATTTAGTTTCTACTTCTGCTTCTACATCAGGACAACCAAGTTTCAGAGAAGCATTTGAAGAGCATGTGTCAATATGTTCTTCAGAAGGAAATTTAAACACAAAAGGTAAGTTTTTTTTTTAATTCATTTATTGTGTTTAGTATAGTAGTGTGCAAAAAAAATGTAGTTCTGTAAATAATTTTTGATCTAATAATTGGATTTTTATGAACTAAAGCTGAATCTTTATGGTTTAATGGGCTCAAATACGTTAATTAATTAACACAGATGATATTTGGAGTTATGAAATCAGACACAAAAAAGCATTTTTCTGAATAAACATGCCTTTTTATGATTGATCTGGATTTCTTACCCTCAGAATATAGAAGTAGCTGCAATCTGGGAAATATGGTTACAATAGTTTGGTCCCTAAATGTTAATTTTACTTTTTGCATATTTCGCTGTATCTCGAGAAATTTTATAAGTGAATTGAAATCTTTTTGCACACAACTGTAAAATTCCTTTATCCAAAGACCATGCAAAATTTTTTTTTAATAATTATATATTTTATTTAATAATAGTTAAAAAATTTTTAAATTGTAAATTATGCAAATTTTTACATAATTTTAAAGATTGTATATTGATTGATTTTATAATTGTTTGCCAAAATTTTCAATTTTCCCAAAAATTTCTTAAGATACGACAAAATGCTTAAAAAGTAAAATTAACTTTAATTGGTCCAAAATTTGAATCACGCTCCTGATCATATTTCCCAGATTGAGGTTCCCCTTAATCCAGATTTGGTCTAGAATCCAAATTTGTCTCAAAAAAGGAATGTTTACTCAGGAAGTACATTTTTGTCTGCTCTAACGAATTAGCATATTTGAGTTTAGCCTCTCAAACCATTAAGATTGAGTCCCTGCACATGAAAATTTGATCATTTGATCAAAAGTTATTCAGGGTGCTTTTTGTTATTTTTTTTACTCACTGCAGATTATAGTTTAAAAAAGAAAAGTGGTATCCATTTTTTTTTATAATCCAAAGATGTATTGTGTTCTACTGACCTATATATGGTTTCTCATCAAAAAGATTTTTCATCCTAATTTTTGATATGTCAGCTATCAAATTTTTTTTTAGCATTTTTAGCAATATTTTTGTATCCTATAAATGTTGAAAATTCTTCTAATTCAATTTTAATATATTTCTGTTAGAGCTTTCAAAGAAATATTATTGTCATTGCCATTATATATTAAATTATTATTATTGTCAATGTAAAAAAAATTATTTTTGAATATTATTATATTTTGGTTTAAAAAATGTTTAGTGAGAAAAGGTTTGTTCCAAACATTTCTGAAGATTCTCACCAAAATGAATTGAAATTTAACAATTTGCAAATGAAAAGATAATTTTTCTTAGGTTATCAACTTTGCAAATATTCATTTTCATTAATTAAAAATTATTAAAAATTGACAAAATTTTACATGTAATCATAGTTGTAAATTTAATTGAATTATTTCTTGTTTATTCATTCCTCTTCATCAGGACGAACACATTGTTAGTTATCATTTTATTAAACATTTTATAGTTGTGTTTTACCGAAAATTATAAATGATTATCATGTGAGTTAATGTAATATAATTTGTTGTAAATGCTGGTTTAAACTGTAAAAAATGGCTAAAATTTTAAAAACTGTAGTCATTCTCAGCATATTTCAATCTGTACTATCTGAAACAAATATGCATAGCTTCTGTAAATATTAAAACATAAATTCAATAAAATCCACATTTTATGTTTAAAAAAAAACGTTTCACTGCAAAACCAGCCAAATCCTGCAGGCAGTGAGTTGTATTACTGGCCATCTCCATAGATGCTAAAATTTCACTTTTGATCAAAAGTTTGGTTATTTTATGTTATTGTGTTTTCACTTGTGATTGTATATGCAAAGTTTCTAATTGAATATCATGCTCGATTTTTATGAAGAAGTGCATAGAGGCATTTTCTTTTAATAAATATATATATATATTTAGTTATAAAAATGTGTGAGTTTCGTGATATGATGAGATATGATAATATTATGAGTTTTGTGATTGTTAAGTTAATTTCAAAGTGTACTGTAGTTTCCAAAGTAATTTTCTGTTGGTCCCTTTTCTGAAATTCTAGTCATATTACCAAAGCCTTCTAAGTCGGTGATTAAGGCCTGGTCATATCAAAAATTCTCCCTTTTGTGCAATGATCCCATTATACTGTTTTGACTGCCACTCAGTTCTGGTGATAATTCAAAGCTGTCAAATCGAAAACCCCGTTCGGCAGTCGCGCTCTGCAGTGAGGTACATGTACTTCGTGTGGTGCAAGGTAACCTGATACTAATTGACTAATCTCTGTCACTTTAAAAGGGGGTTACCACTCACTTGTGCGAACCTGGTACCAAAGGATATGGTTCCAAAGGAAACTTAGCTTTACATCTTATATTATAATTTCCTCATTCACAGAAAAATTAAATATATATTTTAAATTCAGAAAAGGCTCATTAATTTTCAAAATGATTTTATCATTCTGTTAACGTGCACTTTTAATGACGTGCGTGAATAATATGCATGAATCAATAAAATAGTTATTTATTCTTTTTGAATTAATTCACAGATAGTTATGCCATTTAGAAACCAATTAAATACCACCACTTTGTCATAATAATGTTTTAATATTTATTTCATTTTGCAAGTAAATATTATTGCTTACTATGTAAGTTCTTTTCAGACTTGAATATCTGTAATATGAATTAGCTAAATTATTAAACTTCTTTAGAAGTTCACTTTATTTTAATTATTACTTTTTTTTATTGCAATTATTAATGTATAAAATTCTCCAAACTGGTACTCTGATTGTCTCTTGAATAAACATCATAGATGTTAGTTATTTTATTTAAACACTATAGAGTTCCATCCTCTGCTCACTTTCCCCACCAACCCCTACATGTGCTTAACAATAATATTTGTTCACTGGGTTCATTATTCTTTAGTATGCCATACTTGTAACATGTAAAGTCATTTTAAATTAATTTAAATTATAATTTTAATTTTTGTTTAACACAGTTTAATTGAACTATATATTTTGCCTAATTTCAATCTTAAAAAACTGTGTTTACTGTATCTTAAAACTGTATTTACATCAAATTTAATGCAAATACTGGGGTATAATGTAAAAATTGCTTTGGTTGGTGGAAAAAACTCGTTAACCTATTTTTTGGGAAATTTTTTCTGGTGATTCACCATGATAATAAGTTGTATACTATGTCCTGATAATTCTTAAGGGGGATTTTTCTTTATTCCAAGAGATATTCATTAATGATGATTGTTTGTTGCTGGAAGATTAAAAACAGAATAAAAAAATACAATTTCTAAGTTCTAAGATTTAAAATGTCTTTTTTTTTCATCAAAAGTGCTACAAAGCATTAAAAATCATGTATATTTTTGCCAGTCACAATGTTGTGCTTTCATTTGAAATTCAGAGCATCTTATTAAATTAAATTGATAAAAAATGCTTTAACAGTTCAAAAGAATATTTTAGATATTTATACAGTTACTTAAATGTATTTTATTATAAAACATGGTTTTAAAACTGAACTATTAAATAATGTGAAATATTACAGAGTAATATTAACTACGAGAAAAAATATCTTTATTAATGCTTAAAATATTACTTTTTGTAATGTTTGTATGTGCACAGCATATTCATTTGCATGTTTAAAAAAATTATTTACAGTATGACTTTCCCTTTACTTTATTATATTTTTTATCATATCATTATAAATGTTGTCATATTTAACTAAAGTTATTTCACTTAATATTATTTAGTTCCTGATGTAGATGTTGATTCTCTTATGAAGAAGTTGCTTGCTGCAGGAATAATAAATTCTAAACCTGAGGAGCTCAAGCATAAAGCTGATGCTGATGAGATTAAAAAATCAGTTGACAAAATGAAACAAGACTCACCTAAAACAGAAGAAAATATTCCTCCAATTCTGCTTAAGTCAGAGTGTCTCAAAGTGTAAATTTCTTTTTCTTTATTTTTGCATCAATTCTTTTATTGCTTTTTAAAATACTACCCCAGTTAAAAGCAGTAAGAAATATGATTTTCACAGTTCGTTTTGAGAAACAAAATTTTCCAGAGGATGGTGTTTTATTTCATAGAATAAATATTTACGTAGTACTGCATGGTATTATACTATTTTACTATTATCTGTAGTTTCTTAATTGCCTTTATCTCTCTGATGGTCCAAAGATAAGCATGCTGCCTTTAGAATGAGTTAATTTATTTCATGTTGTAGATGTAGGGCGTGACTGTACATGGAACAGGATTTTCTTAGAACTTTGCTTATTTGCTAAGGCATCAGAAGTGAAGAACTTTTCATTTTTATATTTACTGTTTTTTTAATACATATTTAAAGGTTATACTGATCTGAAATCTAAAATCTCTACTGATCTGAAATTAATTTTTTTTGTTTTTACTTTTATATCACTTATACTGATAAATTAAATGACACTTGCTTCAAAAAAAAAAAAAAAAAACTNGATTTATGTATTGCAAAAAAAAAAAAAAAAGGGAAAGAAAGTAGAATACACTGGCAAAATTTAAGTGAATAGTGAGACATACTCATTTTCACCACAGAATTTTAAATAAATAAATGCTATATCATGATCCCTTATATTAGAATTGAAAATATTTAAAAATATGTTTTATTCAACCGTAAAAGATCAAGATTTGAAACTCGTGTGAAAAATTGTTTCATTAAGGGTTAAATATGGGACAATGCACATGAATTTGCACTACAATATTATTGTGCACTTATTTCAAGTCGCATGATGAAAAGAAATTAATATGTATTAAATGTGCAAAAATTTTATTTACTTAGGAATTAACAAATTATGTTCCTTTAAAATATTTTCAGAATTTAAATACATTTAAAATTAAGATTATTTATTTTTTAAAACATGTTTTTAGATATTTCCTGTTTTGAAACTGGTATGTTTGTAATGGCTAAATCCACTCGCTGATGAGAAAACCCATGGTTAAAATGGGGCATGCAAGCAGAAAGGGGAATGTTTAAAGTACTTTTAATAATTTTTGTTTAATCTTCACAAACAAATTACTCTCTGCTATATATTATATTCAGTAATATTTTTTAAACATAGAATATATCATCACCCAATCAAAATAGGAGGTTTCTTACACGGTATTCTGTTTTAAATATTTGAAAAAAGAATTAAATTCATGTGAAGTAAAAATAAGGAAATTAGTAGATTTTGAAAATCTGATGACAACAAGATTTACAATGTTAAATCATCTATTCAAAGCCGCTATTTGCATAATTTTATTGCTTCAAATTTTTGAGAAAAATTTTATAAAGATCCAAACATTGCATCATAGTTTCTTAGCATCAATAAAGAAAAATGTAAAAAATAATTATGCTGTAGAATAACATTACCACAGAGATTTATTAAGGAAAGAACAAATCAACCAAAAATTGAAAATCCATTGTTGTGTTGATATAAGGGTTTTTAAAAATAGAGATCAATAATAACATGTATCATGATGTAATTAATATATACCAAATTAGTTTATATCAGTATCACGGTATAGTTAATATCTGTATCAGCATTAATTCATATCTATTTCAGTATTAGTTTATATCTGTATCAGTATTAGTTTATATTTGAAATAGTTCATTAAATTGATGAAAAATAAAGATTTCAAATTTCTTATAAGATAATGGATGAATTGTGCAATTTTTTTTTGTATCACTCAACATTAATAAAAAGCTGCTGATGTCACCTTTACTGTTGTTTGAGAAAGTTTCCTAACTTTTCACTCGTGCAATGTAAAAACTGTTCTATGAAAAAATTTTAAATTTTACACATTTTTAGAGAAATGATATGGGTACATTCTGATATAAAAATTTTATTCATTCAGACTTGAGGTTTTGAATTACAGTCAATTGGTTAACTGAAAATGTAGATTATTGGAAAATTTTAAAAAGCTCATCTTACACCTACGAAATTTATTATAATAAGTACTGTAATGCATCTTTCAAAAGCAAATAAAATTGAAAATGCATTTTATCCCTCTCTGATTCTTTGAAAAAAATATCTCCTTTTACTATTTCTCTCTTAATTGGTTTCCTTCTTCCTCCCACTCTTATTGAAAAAAATGAGAGCAAAGAGAAGAGTTCCTCTTTCCATGGACACCAAAGGACCAACAAACAGTTGAAATTGAAAAGTGTCTAGCAGCATACTTTAGTTTAGAAAAGCTTTTGGCTGTGAAATTAAGATATTTTTGAAGTTGTGTTTTCTTATGTGTGAAGATACAGTATCAGATTTTTTTCTTCTAAATTTAGAATTAGTTTTCACCTTCATTTGCTGCCACATACTTTTATGTCTGAAAGTAAATAAGACTGTGTCCTTTCTTTTAAACATTGAATAACTAGTTCTAAAGTTATTAAGTTTTAAAGTTTTGTTTTCAATTTCTTATGAAATTCATATATCCTGAAAGGTTTACAAAAATTTCATGTTCCTCCCCCTCTTTTTCAGAGATCAATTGACTATATAATTTGCTTTTATTGAAAAGAACTGTGTAAGCAGTTCTGAGAGTTAGCAAGCAATGCTAGAGTATTAACAAATATGGAAACTTTATTTAATACATTCAAAGTATGAAATGCTTCTAGCTTTCTTTTAAGTTGATTTAAAAACCACTAACTTAATAAAATTAAAATTTACCTCTAGTGCAAGGAGGATAAATCTTTATTGAAATGAGCTTTTTTTAAAAAAATATTCTCATTAGAATTCAATATAAACATGCAAAACTGCTTTTTGAATAAAAATACTGTCCAATTCTTTTTTTTTTTTTAAATTTTTGATGTTTGTTAAGTAAAACATTGATCTTTATAGTTAAAAGAATTCTAATTCTAGGTATAAGGGTCCTGTTATTTCTGCTTTGCATAGAGGTTTTCAGTGTGACTCCTGTGGTTTAAGATTTAGTGATTTAAAAAAAGAAAGTTATAGTAAGCACCTGGACTGGCATTTCCGCATGAATAGAAGAGAACGAAGTAGCTTAAAGAAGGTTTCTTTTCAACACTGGTATTACGAAATTGAGGTATGTTATTTCTTTTATTCACAGTCACACGTAAAGGCAATGTTCATGCACATTGCCTTTAAAATATCAGTTATGATGGTTGAGAAAATTTTTCTGATTATCAATATCAATTTTACCCTGGAATTATTCTTTATTTAATAAATATACATATATATATACATTTATTTTATGAAAAATAAATACTAATACAGTATCACTGTTTTTCAATTGTAGGAAAGCTTCCTTAAGTTTTTTCAGATATGGAGAAACTTTATTTCTGAATTGTTTAAAAGTAACATTTAAATTCTGCCGAATTTATAAATTATTGCTGTTAAAAAACTTAATATTCGAAAAGTGTCTTATTATATTTATTTTTACTTAGAAATATTTTTTTAAAATTGAATATAAATAACAAAAAAATGTTACCAGTTTAAGATTTGGGATAAAGTGAGACTTGCATTTAGAGTGTAAAATTGCAAGAAGTTTAAAATTTGCCTATAATTTTTGTAATATGTTAGTGTACTGTTTGCATAAACAGTAAAACCATGTGTGAAAACTTGCCAATCATTTAATTGAAAGGCAAAATGTGGATGAGTTTTAAGAAAAAGGCCATTTAAATGCATGATTCTACTTTAGTCCAATCTGGAACACGAGATGGTAGCGCAATAGCTTATACTATATCACTGTTTTTTGTGACTAAAATAAGCTGAATATAACTAGATTATGTATATCTTTTTAATTTTTTCAAAGGATTGGATTCAGTTTGAAGAATTTGATGAGCCTGATGATAAAAGTAAGTTATGAAAGCTTTGTAACTAAAATAATTTTGTCTTACATAAATTGGAATGTTTAAAGTTTCATGTAAATTATTCAACTTATTTTAAGTGACTCAGAAAAGTTTCAGAGATGCTTTCTAAGAATCAAAGCAAAATTGAAATTTCTCTAAATCTTTTTAAATAATGAATAATAAAATATACCTAAATGATAACATATTTCTAGCGCAGTAATACATTAGTTTATTTTATATCTACAATAATAATGTGGTTCATAATAAATAATAATATTTTCATCAATCTAATTATTTTTAGTTTTCTTAAAAGCTTGGATTCTCATTTTCATAGGTAAAAATTTTTTCGAACTACAGTCAGAAGAGCTTAAAGAAGAAACCAAAGTTCCTGTTCCAAGTGTTCCTGCTACAAAATCAGAAACTGAGGTGAAAAAATTGGATATTTTTTATTTAAATAAAAGAATGTGTAACTGATTTTAACTTAAAAAGTTGAACAGTGCTAATGTATAATAGCATTCTGCTTCTACAATAAGGACATTTTGTACAAGTGAACACTAGTATTCTTTTTAAATATAATTTCTCACTTTCTTCAACAATGAAATTTTAAAATATTGCATATATTATAAACATCACAACGGTCTAAATGCATTACCTTCCTTTAGCAAAGTATAAATGTTTAATTAAGGAGAAAGGCTGGCTTGTTTCACAAGATTTTTAAGTTTGGTTCTTGTTTTTCATTTAGTATTTTTTGAGGAGGTAGTTTCAACAATAATATTTTTTTAAAAATAATAAAAGACCAAATCTGTCTTTTTCTTTCTTTATGTTATATATTATCTCTGTACTTCTATTTATTGTATAAATGAATAAGATAAAGGTTTGCCAAACAGCTTTTAAAATCATCTTTTTTTGCATTGAGAGTAAAGTTTGTCAAGGTAATTTTGCTTTGGTGTAGAGTAGCTTTTTAATTAAAATTTTTTTTCAATTTTTCTTAAAATATCTCTTTATCTATCAGATTATGATTTAGCAAGATTGAACCTTTAAAGTATATTATTTTTTTTTGTTTTTCTGTATTATTGGTGTGATGTTTTTCTGTGCTTATTCAATATTGTAGTCTAAAATATTGACTAAAATATATTGACTACTTGTGACTTCATAAATGAGTATCCATTACTGTTGCATTTTTGTTGCAATTTGGTAAGAGTGTTATCTGAGTATTTTCAATTGATAAATGACATACTAAAATATTACTCTTTCACTTTATTTTACTTATATTTCATTTTTAATTGCATGCACTTGTTAAATACAATAGAAATACTTTTATCTTCACAGTTATGCACTGCTTGTAATGAGCCATTTCAACTAGTTTGGATGGAAAATGAAGAGGAGTGGCATCTACATAACTCAGTGATCTATGAAGATGATGTAAGAATAGCATTTTATTTTATTACGAAATACTTTCAATGCTAATGAAATACTTTCAATGAGACAGTTTTAATATTTGATGTCTGACATCAAAATATGTGATTAATTATGCTTAGCCAATTAGATGAAAGCCAGATAAATAAATGTTTGTATTAAAAGCAAGATAATTAAATTTACATGTGATACCATTACATCTGCTTTAATTACCTTTTATATTCTCTTATTTTCCTAAAATACATGGCTTTTGCTTATAAAACAATGTGAAACATAATAAACTAAATGTGCTTGCAGGTATTTTTTATTTTCGTAGATTAGTTTTAAATTAAATTTTACTATTTTTTATCTGTATTTAAAAGTTGTCAGTTAATGTATTGAGTTGTTTGGAAAGTAATTTCAGTTTTTTCCCAATAGATGACTTAATTGTATTTTTTCCAACTTCACACTTAAGCCACATAATCATAATATATTTTGACCTCTGAGATTGCAAGGCTCTTTTCTGAAAAAGTTCAAATAATTCACTGCAATAGTTTTTAGTTGGTGACTTTTAAAATATGGAAAATGAGAAGTAGAATTTTTAGTATATTTTACTTGTCTAATATCGAAAAAGTAAAATTGCTGATCAAGCAAGAAAAAAATTATCCTATTGTTATAGAGAAGATGCATTTGTAGTACGCCAGTGCTAAAACTGGTCTGCAAAATTTTGATTAATGTGCATGAAGGTGCACCATGCCATTTTAGCTGATGACAACATAATAATGGCATTAATTAATGCAAAACGGCTAATAGCCAACTAGTGAGATCACCGAGACATTAAATTTACCGAATTCAACAGTTCATGATCATTTTAAAAGCCTAAGAATTAATCTCAAAACTTAGCATATGGGCTCCTTATACTTTGAGAAATTTGTGCCATCATGTTGACGTTTATGATTTGCTTCTCAAGCAAGAAAATTATCTATTTTTGCAGCACATCACCACTGGGGATGAGAAATGGGTTGTCTACAACAATTTTCTGGTCTCTAAAATTTTTTTAGACAACAAAATTTTTATTTCAAATAAGGAGGTAAAAAATTTCTTGGATCAGTTTTTTACTAGTGAAGAACAAAAATTTTATGCAAGTGGAATCATTGCAGGGTTGCCACAGACTACTAAAATGCAACTATTTGCTACTATTTTCGGCCTTAGGCGACTATGGCGACTTTTTTTGCCTGGAAAGGCTAAAAAAGCCACTATTTTCAGGAATAGGAGACTATTGGGAGACTTTTTTACTCTTAGCAAAGTTATTTTGATACTTATACTTATTTTTCGTAGACCTACTTACCTATTTTCTTTGTGATTGCTGCACAATAGCTGTTATCTTAAATTTTCGTTCCCAACTCAATTGATCAATGAAAAGAAAATGTAAATTAAAAAAAGATTCTTCATTGATTTTTTTCAATTATTGATTTTCATTTTAAGCGATACAATTTAATAGGGGTATTTTGTATTTAACTTTGTTATGAAAGATTAGTTTCTTCAAATTTATTTAATGTAGGTAAGTATAATAATTTGATTATTTTTAAACTAATAAATGTTCAGTTGTTTTTAATTATAAAGAAATTCAAACAAAGCTTACCTTTATTTCATTTGCTTTCATTTTTTAAAAACTGAAAACAAAGTTTTAAAAAAATTTGTCTATTAGTTGAAACAAAATTTTTTTAAAAAATTAAATGAAGAGTTTAGTAATGTTTTGACTCTTTTTAATTATTTAACATTAGTTCTTGAGGTATTTTTTTTTAAAAAATTTATTAAAATTCTTCAATACTTGTTTGTTTTATAATTTGTTAGATAGTCAGTATCATTTTTAAACAAATAAATCTTTAGTCAATTTTATTTTCAAAAAAGAAAATAATAATAAATAAATAAAAATATAAGTACAGAATTTGACCATTAGTTAATACTACTTTTTATTATTTTAAATAAAAGAGGGTCTAATGCTGTTTCAAAAGCATGTTTTTTTTCCAACAAATAATTAAAAAAATTTTTTTTTCTCAAGTGAACATTTCTTTGGTTTGTTTTCTACTTTCGTTTTTTTTCTTTTAATTGTAATGCATGTATGTAAAATATTTTTTTCAGTATTATTATTTTTAAACCAATAAATCTTAAATCATTTTTAATTTAAGAAAAAGGAAATATAGCTTGAGTTTGCTTTTACTTTGACTTCTTTATTATTTTAATTGAAAAAATTAAGCAATGATATTGATGTTGTAGTAGAATATGTTTGGAATTAATATTTTCTTTTGTGATTAATATTTCTTTTTGATTTATTCCCTTTTATTTATTTTTGATTGATTTAAAGATTTCTCATAGGTAATTTCTGAACATATGCTAAATCGCGATACTCGCGATATCGCGATGTCCAACGGACGATGTATCACGATTTAAAATTTCTGACATCACTCAATCCTAATCGTAGTATTTGACAATTAAGCTACAATTTTAGTTATTTGGCTACTATTTTTGATAAATATTTGTTCCTGTTCAGGCAACTATTTTCATAGTTTTAGGCAAATATTTTCATGCTTGAGGCTACTAAAAGCAACTATTTTTGTTAATTTTTTACTGTGGCAACCATGCATTGTTTCATTGGTCATCAATGCATGGCCCATGAGTTTTACTAGTTGCTATCTGATGATAATTTAGTGACCTTCTAAGTCATCAAATTCAATTTTAAAAATTACAGTTTAAAAAGAAAGTAAAATGGCTGTAGAATGAAAATTATTTTTGGTGATAGCTTGTATTGCAAAATTTGTGGCTGATGCTTTTATAAAATTGACAAAATAGTTTGTTTATCGGTCTTATTATAACAGAAACAATGAAACACCTTACAGACAAAGAAAAAATAATAGAATTTAGGAACATATTCGACTTATCAGCATTTAGGGAATACTTTGAAAAATTACAGCTACTACTATTGCACATGATCGCTTGAAATTGATGCTTTAGCTATGCTAAATAATGCTTAATAACATATTAAATTAGAAATGGTAATCATTCTTTTTGAAATAATTGTTACTGTAATTTTCCCAGTTTCAATTAATAATGAAAAAGCATAAAATGAATTGATTCTACTTTTTTAGCAAAATATGAACATGCTCAAAATAAAAAAAGTTTAGTAATCTTATAAATTTTTTGGCTAAACTGCATTATCTAGCAGATGAATCCAATGTAATTTTTCAAATTTATTGATGTGGCCTTCTTGGACAAAGGTTGAAAACTCCTATTATAGAGGACGGAATAAAAAGCATTTATCTATTTTAATTATAAAGAGAGGGCGGCAAATATGCTTTGTGAAAGCTATTAAATTGAAAAAAATAATGCTTATATTATTGGAATAAAAGTTAAAGTCAATTATATTGTACTTAAAATTATAATTAAATAAAAATAAATTCTAATTATCTATACATTAGATTTTATTTTGTAAAATTTGTCTTGAATGTTTTACTCATATGTATACTTTAACTCTTTCTTTAAAACTAAATCCACTAACATTATCCTACAATAATGGAAGAGACACTTTTAGTTTTTGTCATTTTGTAAAACTTTTTTTGTCAAGAAATACTTAGAGAATTGTTTTATAACTTTAGTATTAAGGTTATGAAATTTCTCATATGTATTTCTCATATGTATCAATAAAGTTTATAGCTTTCAGGAGGTTGAGTAACCGGCAATAATTGGCGAACATAAAGAGTGTTTTTAAACACTTTATACCCAAAAGTACAGCTATAAACTTGTAACTTGTATCAATTACTTTGGTTATCATATGCAAAAACTGCTCAAAATTCGATATACCTAGCTATTCATGAACATATGGGTATTTCAGAAAAAAACTATTTTTTTTGTTGTTGTTTTACGTTTTCTTACTATAACTTTAGAAATATTCAATAAAATTAAACATGATATTTGGAGTAATTTTTGATTAATAGCAAAAATATTATTTTAAAATTTGAAAGCAATTCATTAGAAATTATTTTCCGAAATATGAGCATTTAAAATTGTTCTTTCATATTACTCATTCCTGAGAAATATTTAACAAAAATTTTCGTAATTTTGTTGGAAATTGTATTTGGTAACCTATGAAAAAGGTATGATTTAATTATCGTGAAAATTTAAAACGTTTCTAGCAATCTTCTTAGTAGTTTTTGTATTTTTTTAAAAGAAAGCTCCAAAGAGTAAGAGGTTTTTCACAAATTTTGTTTTGTATCAAAAAAAAAAAAAAAAAAAAAAAAAAAAAAAAAAAAAAAAAAAAAAAAAANAAAAAAAAAAAAAAAAAAATCAATAACAAGTATTATTATTGCATAATGATTGTCCAGACAACAAAATGTGATGGTATAAGGAACGAAAACATGTGAAATAAAACATAATTTAATAGGGGTGGTTCTATTTAATGACAATGTTTTAATGTACCTTGTTTAGTAGTATGGAATAAAATGTGGAAAACCCCTTACCATTCAAAGCTTTCTTTCCAAATTTATAAAAACTACTAAGAAAATTGATAGAAACTTTTTGAATTTTTAAGATATTTAAATAGAATTTTTTTCTTGAGGACCAAATTCGATCCAGAACAAAATTATGAAAAATGTTTTAAAATGTTTCCACGTATGTATAGTGTGAAAGGATTACTTTAAATGCTTATATATATTGCTTAATTTTTAATGTTTTTTTTTTCAAATTGTTATTAATCAAAAATTACTTCAAAAATTTTGTTAAACCTTAATATTTCTACAGTTATAGCAAGAAAATGTAAGGCAAACAAATTAGTTTTTTTTTCTTCCATACATACATAGGTTGTTCAGGAATACTCTTTTTGGTTTGTAATGTATTGCTGGTCTCTCGAAAACTCTGAAAGCTTTAAACTCTATTGGGGGATATAAGAAATCACATAACCCAAGCACCTCTAAAGTTAAAAGGTAATTTTTTTAGTATTTCTTGAGAGATTTGAAAAATTGTCTCTTTTATTGTTGAGTATTATATCCTAAAGGTTGTATCCTAAAGGTTTTTTGAACAAGTAGCTATTATTGGTTTTAATATAGTTTATGACTTAAGCTAATATTAAAACTTTTTTTTGTGTGGAACTTACCAGTTTTTTAATGAAGTTTTTAATAAGCAGGAAATACTGGGTTTAAATATATATAAACATACCTACCAACTTTTAATCCTTTCGAGGATGATTTTCTCCAGTGGTAGTAAAATGGAATTTAAATTGCAATTTTAGGCAGAAACATACGCCGTATTTTGGAAGATATTATGCAGAATACAGTTGCAGTATTATACATTAATATATATGCTAAATTTTTCAAAAAATAGTGGTAATCAAAAAGATTATAAATTAAGTTTATAAATGCAAGGAAGATATAGAAAGCATTCATTTTACTACCACTTTAAATATAGAAATGAAATTTTATGCCAAATGCGTAAAAGTTGACAAGTATGTATAAATGTACTAGTTTTATATTGACTATTAATAATTAAATAGAATTTTTCTAAGAAGTATTTGTTCATATTATATGACAGGGGCCAAGTTCCTTGATAGTCGAGCCATTTTTCAAATGTTTGAAATTTTTCGCGAGCCGCAATTAAATACATATTTAAAAGGTATTAATTTTTTTTTTACATAAATTATATTTATTGAAAGCATATAAGTAAAAGTACAAAATATGTGTATTGAATTTAAATATTAAACTCATTTATTTTACTTCTCTTGATAATTCTTTAAAATTTAGTGAATAATTGGTGACAGCACTTCTCAGTTATTCTTTGAGATGCTGGTTTGTAAATACTGATCGGTGTTTGGATTTCACGAATTTTAAAGTGGTTAACATAAGTACGTTGTCCCGAATATTGAAATAATTCGACGAGCAGCCTTTTTTAGTTCAGGAAACTTCGATTCTGGTACAAATTTCCAAAATTCAGTAATCGATGTCGACTAATATTTTAATTGTAGCGCTTGATCTTCTTGCATCTTTATTAATTCTAATTCTCCCGATGCTTTTTGTCTCATAATTATAGTGGGAAGGGAAAACTCAGCTTCACTCAACAACGCTACACTTAATCTTTCATATTTGTTCTCAGTAATTCAAAAGACATTTTGAATCACATATGGAACGATAATAATTTTTTAAAATATAATAGCACAAAAATGAAAAGGGAACTCTGGTACATTTATCGAGAGCCACAAATAATCCTTCAAAGAGCCGAATGTGGCTCGCGAGCCACAGGTTGGCCACCCCTGTTATATAAAATCATATTATATATAGTTCTAATTAATTTCAATGTTAAAAGTCAAATGTTTAATCCCATTTAGTATTCTGAAAATGCACAAATGTTATAAAATAACCTTGTAAGCATTAAATAAATAGTATTCTTGAAAATTGGTCTATGTAAGAAACATTTAAATTAGAGAATTTGGAATTTTTAAGAATAAAGTATCCACAAAAGTAAACAAGTAATATTACTATATTTATCTGGTTCTAGCAATTTAATGAAACTACAAATTTAGTGATGAAGGAAAAGGAAATAGAATGTTTGGAAATGTGATTTATTATGTCTAGCTTTTGTTCAACGTTTGACTTCAATTGAAATATTTTATTGTTTTTGATCTTTATCTTTAGTCCGTGAAACGTGGAGAAATATAGCTTCTTTCCCAAGTTATTTTAGTAATAGAAAATCTATCTATATGAATATGGAAAACAGTCAAAATGTCAGGTTTTTCTCTTATATGATTAAAAAAACTTGTTTTAAACCATGAGCTACAGATTCTTTTCAAAATTGAAAGTATGAAATGATTTTGCAAATAATTTTCAGGAAAATTCATTTAACAATTTTTCACATAAAGAGTCACATTTCAATCCTTCACTAAAAGAGAACTTACCTTAAGAAAGAATTTGAAATTTTCAAGGCAAAATCACTCAATATATAGTTAAAAAAATCACCTAATAATGAAAAACCCCTATTATATTTTCTTTACATTGGATAATGAGGCACACTTAGTTGATATATTAATTCTATCTCATTCTTACTAGTTTGTATTAAGCTTGATACATAAACACTTTTTTTTGCTGTTGGGATTAAAAATTTGCTTTTTTTTTCACAAACCAATTTTATTTGTTTATTAATTTATTTAATGGTTATTTGAATTCTTTAAATTTTAATGCTGTATTAGTTTTTGAAATATTATTTTTCGTAAACTTTTTGATCTATTTCTGAATTTTGTTCTATTGTTATGAGGCTATGTAAATTGATCACAATTTATGTTTGTTTAGTTCTAATGTTGCTCTGCATAAAAAAAACATGGTTATTTACGATATATATGTATATATTACAGGTTTTCCACCCAGCATGCCTTGTAGATTTCAAAAAGGTAATAATTAATTTTTAGTTTCTTTCTTGACATAAATGTTAGTCAAAGAGAAAATATGGAAAAGTTAAGACAAATTTTAAAAAGACAAAGCAAGAAGTATATAGTTTAACATAGTAAAAGTAAAATAATTTCACAAAAGCCAAGGGGGTTATTGAAATTACAGCTCAACAGTTTTCAGACAAACAACATGAATGATGGTAATGTGGACAAAATTCTGTACCAGTTGCCTTTACTTCCTAGACAAGTTGGCACCCATAAATATGAAGCTGGGAAGACTTTATTCCAGCACAAAAGATAAAACTTCAGTCCTTAGCAATGACACCTCAGTGCCCAATCCATTGTAGCTAATTTTATATTTATTAGGTTATAAAGACATAGATTATAATAATAACTTTCTGATTATTAGTTGTATTTGTCAAATAATAATTTTTTTTAAACATAATCAGAATATTTTGCGATAAAATTTTCTTTTTTTTAATGTTATATAAAATTATTTTTAAGTTCAATAAAAAAAATAGTTTATAATCTTACTAGTGTGTGCCATTTGCAAAGTGAAATAAGTCATTTTTCTTGAAATTTCATTCTATGAAAATTATTTATTCTATTCATAAGATATTTCATTAAAATCATTACAAATAACAAATTAGTAGCTTTAAGGTATAGCTTTATCATGTAGTTTATAAAATGTTTTATTGATTTACGTGTTAAAAATTGTCTTATTTTTTATACAAATATGTATTTTTTAGAGTATATTTTCAAGTAAAATTCTTTCATATTTTGCAATTTATTACTTTATCTATTATTCAAGTTAATTTATTTTGAAAAATTTTAATTTTACAAAGTATGGAATTATATGTAAACTTCTTTTAGTAGCTAAGATCAAATGAAAAGTAAACTAATTTACTCATATTTATTTCGACTTATTAATACGTTTTTTGGGGGCCTATGATAAAAAATTTAAAAATTTTATTTAAAAAATTTTAGTTAGGTTTTTGAAGATTTTTTGTAGCATTTCTTTTTGAGTTACCAGAGTCTGGATGCTAGATCCTAACAGACTAATTTAGTTTCAATAAATAGGAATCTCACAACCCTGAGGTACCAAATAACTTGTTCTGATTCTTCTTCCTTTTTAGTTTTTTCTGTCAGATACAGTTTCTAATACCAATTAATTTTTCTATCTTGAATAATCATTATTGTAAGCGTTTTTTCTTTAATTATAGATAGACACAGCATTATCTAGCAGCATCTTTCTTTTGCTCTGTCGGCTGTATATTTAATCCAATTTTTGTTTTGAATTATTTATGTGCAATGTTAACTATTGCAAAATATTGCAATGTTAACTATTGCAAAAATTTTCTGTTATGTTTGAATTTTATTTACATTTATCACTGTGTAATCCATAAATAACCCTCTCTAAACTTATTATATTGATTTAATATGTTTACAATATCACATGTTTAAAAAAAAACTCTGAAACATGGGATTTTTAGCTAAAATTCATTTTCTTATTTTGAATAAAACATTTCAAATTATAATGTTTCTCATTTGTTAGGAAAAAGAATCAAAAGTTATCAAAGATCTTGATTTTGTGGATCCGTTGCCCGTAGAATCTAACTCTGAGAGTCATGATGATGACATAAAAGGTGTGGACAGTGAAATTGAAATAGCTTTGTATGATTTAATTACCCAAATTACAACAGGCAGTGAAATGATGGAAGAAACGAGTGAGAGTTTATTGATGTGTTCTACTGATGATATAAAAAAAGAAAATGATGAAGAACTTGTATTAAATCAGACACCATTAGATCCAAAAATAGTTAAGAAAGAAGACCCAGTTGAATCAGATTTAATCAGACAGGACTTAGAAATTTTAGAAGGGAAGCCAGGTGAAGAAGAAATCATTGGAGTAATCTCAGAAGCAGACACTGAGTCTGATCATGATTTATTTACTGAAGAATCAAAAATGGTAACTATGCATTCTGGTGGAATAACGTTGAAAGTTAAAGCAGAAAGGTTTAAACAAACTCCTTCTTCGATTGGAACAATTAACAGCAGTGTTTCCATAGAAGGACAAGAAAGTGATGATGATTTCCGTCCTCCTACACCTGATCCTCGGTTTCAAGTAATGCCTTTTGTGAAAAAAGGAAAAGAATTATCAGGTTTATGTGTTATCATCTGATGTATTTTGTAATACATTTGTATTTTTATCTGCTTAATTGAACTAATACTGAAAGAATGTTGTTCCTGTATAAACTGGTTAATTGCCAATTTATTTGTACTGAAAGCTCAAGTTATTTCATTGTATGCATTAGTGGTACTAAACCTAACAAAATGGAATTGTATATAGAATACTTAACGACGTGTGCTCAAACGTAAATGAAGGCCACCTCCTTCAACCCCTTGGATTTATTGGGTGTCTAACCTTTTTTAGACAGTGGCCAACTGGTATTCACTGGGGCTTATTAACTGGGTTAATGCCACTATTGATTATAGATAATGACCTTAAAAGTTTAATTTAAAGTAAAAAATTAATTTATGACTAAAAATATATTTTAAAAGTTAGATTTATTAGTTGATTTGTAAATGATGTAAATAGTGTTTTCTAAATAGTATTTACGTTTATTTTGTAAAGTCTGCCATTAAGAAGTGATTCAAACTTAAAATGATTTTTAAGTAATTTGATCTTATGAGAGTTAAATTATATTTACTATGGCTAAGTAACATTTAATGCATCTTAAATCTTTTTATCTAATTATGTGCTCAATACCTTAAATGTGTTTCTTAAAGTTTAATTACTATATAGAGTTATGTCAATTAAATTGTTGTTGCAATTGTACTTAAGTATTATAGTTTTAACTCTCTGAAAGATTATTTAATATATATATATATATATATTGAATCACTGTTCAACTATAAGTGTGTAATGTGTGATATCATATTGCTGTGATAAAACCTCTCAGATATCTATTTGTTTAGCTTCTACCCGTGATTATACTCTTAATTTACCTCTTAACTTGTATTGACCTAGTTGTATAAATTTGTTATTTGTTTTACTTCTTATACTCATCTTTAAATTAATATTCTCTTTAATTTACTTTGTTATTGTTTGGAACAGAACTTTTTTTTTGTTCAAAATGTCAACACTTTCTGTGAAAAATACGGAAAAATTATTATATTTATAAAGTATAAGCAAAAATTATTGTTTTCATTAAATAATAACTTGTGTATATATTAGGTATTTATAAGTCATTCAAGAAACTTTTTTGTTAAAACATTTATTTCAACATGTGGATTCTGCTATTTGAAATATGCTAATATTTTTATGTGTATAATTTCTGTGTGACTCCTTTTTCATCTCTCAAGTATTGTATTATTCATTTGCATCAAGTTGTTTTTTCATTTGCATCAAGTGGTCAATTTTGCATCAAGTTGTTGCATCATTTTTCAAGTCATTCATTAAAGTTTTTTGTTAAAACATATACTGTCAAACACTCTTATAATAAGCAGATTAAATGAAAACCTGGATTCAATGAGGAAATTGGAAATACTTGGTCATTACAATAGTAAGTCGATTGAGAATAGCTTGAACTTATAGCTTTTTACGAACAAACCACACTTGTAGTGAGAAATATTTTTGTGATTTATTACATTTCTCCATAATTCCATCTCTCTAGCATAGTTAATACCTTTTTGGAAAAATTCTTTTTTGATGTTTTTTTGGGTTAAAATTTTTTTTTACAAGTTGATGATTATTTTCAGGCCATGAGTCATTTCCAAAGAACAATAATGAAAAAAAAAAAAAAAAGATAATAAAACAGTTCAAAGCAAGTTAACTCATTTCTATCATGCTCTACAGAAATAAAAAAGTTAAGTTTTGCACCATTATATTGGTTCAAATTAAAATTATGATAACTAAGAAACTATCATCTCATTTATATGTAAGTTGGGTTCTTTAAGAAAATATTAAATTTCTCATTATTGTTAGGTCCAAGTTCCTCTTATGAAAAATAATTTGGAAATAAATAATTTGACCTAAATAATCTGAATAAAATGAATGGCTGAAAAACTTTAATTTATAAATAACTCGTTTTGTGAAGTAATAAATAAATTGCAAATTCTATTAAAAAATTATCCCCAAAAATAATTTTTAAAAGAAAAACAAACTCTTTTGAGTAGTTTTTTTCTAAAATTGCGAATCTTTAAGTATATTTTATGAAAGCAAGTCTGTTAAAAAAGCTTGACAAAGCAAATACGTTTTAATTGGTAGAATAATTATATCTGTGTATTGGGTGTAAAAGACGCTATGTCACAAATGAAAAATTTTTGAGAAGAACCAGATGAATTTGTCTTTAACCCATTCAATTACGTTATAGCGCCTTTTCAAACTGGCTAACGTTGTCATTTTTATGCTTAGGATATAATCCTTTATATTTCTGAAAATTGAATAAGAAATTCTTTAAACCATAATTTTGTAAAAAAATATGCATTGTGCCTTTTTTCCTCTCTTACACATATATGTATACTATATATGAAAGAAGAATAATTTTTTCAATTTAGGCATCATTTTAGCTACCATAAGCATATTAATGCTATAAAACTTTGGTATTGCCTTGGTGTTTTGAAACTTATAGTTCACATCAAGTTAAAATCAATTATAAGAATCCATTCGGCTAAATAGTTTTCATTGACAAGAATCGAAAGATAGCATTATTTTGCTCCAATAAGTGCTAGGTTCTTATGAATTAATTTTTGTATACGACCCCTAATAAGAATATTATTAATATTTTTACTGTTATTGGGAACCCACATATTGTGGTATTTTTCTTCTATGAGAGTTAAGTTTTATATTTTCTAAATTGTAATTTTTATATTATAAAGACATAAAAAAAAATTATGTTTTTTTATTTTATTGAGAATATTTTGGGAACAAAGAGAAAATAGTGTTTATGTTTTAGTGCATTTAATAAAATAATGTGTAGTTACAATGTTTTAGTAATACAAATGTATTGGGTAGAGTAGTGATGGCAACTAAATAATTAAATAAATTTTCTTTAGTGGGGATGTTTTATTTTACTATATAAATCATTATTAAAATCATTTGAATTTAATGTTTTTCTTAGATGATTAAAGAAATTCTTCTTATAATGAATTTTATCAATTTTTGTACCATAAATGTATTATCTATTTATCTCACAAGAGTATTCATCCCCAATTTCATATTTCTTTAATAGGTGCAAAATCATTATAGCACATTAAATAATATTGTTGAGGAAAATGAATTATGCTAAATCCAATGTATTAATTTACAAGTGATTTTTATTCTATAAATTTCAAGATTTGTGCTCAGTACTATTAATTTTATAATAAATATTTTTTATAAAATTAAAATAAATTTTGTTAAATGATTTTTATGAAATCAATTTTTTATGATGTAGAATTTTGTAATTAAATAATTGTTAAATTTTTTAATAATTATGAGCAGTATATTTATAAATAATGAATTTTATTTAGTGTGTATTTAATAGGTGTTAAAATAATTTTTTGTTGAGGACCAAGTTTTTGTAAGAATTTTGCAGTCAAGTTAAAAGTTAACTTGATATTAAAATATCGCATTTATACAATTATAATGGGGATTAATTCTGAAATCAGTTGAAGATGAAAGATATGTTTATGCATTTTGTTGGAATTCATGCCTCCATTTATGCAGTTTATATTATTGTCTATGATTTGATTATGTAGACTCGACTGAACTTTTCTAGTCTAATGATATATATTTCTTCCTCTAATGGAAGAGAATGTATAAGTAATCTTCTGTAAGTGGAAGAGTTTTAAACCTTGATATCTGCTTTGCAGACTATTTGCTTCATGTTGAATTCATCTATAAAGAAACATCAGATGGGTAAAACAAAACACTTTTACCTTTTTACAAAACTGAACTGTGTTTAAAATGGAGTTAATTTTTGTGTTCAAAAGAGAATCAATAAAAGAATTTTATTATGTGGTATTTCTTATTGTCTTGTATTATTAAGAAAAAAACAGTTGAATCCCTATGCTGTTTCAACGTGTATTGACAGTACTTTTGAAAATGCAGAATGTATTGCCAGAAACATAAGTGATAAAATCTGCTTTTGGGGTTTATTAAATATTTAGATTATTCAATTATAGTTTCCTAAGTTTCGTCATGAATAATATTGTGTATCTAGTGTGAAAACCGCCACTGATTTCAGGCTTTTTTAATTTATTCAGCACCTGAATCTGCTTTTATCTCCTATTTTTTGGGCCAGAGGCCAGTTTTTCCTCTTGTTCAACAAGATGGTTGTATATCGAGTAGAAATTTCTATGCAAACTTGTCCAGAATTGTATTTTAGTGAATATTAATTTGCATATTGTTACTTAATACATTGGTGAAAAAAATGACTCGTGTTTTTTATTCATTATCATCCCTGACTTGACAAGCCAGTTTGGGCCAAGGCCTTCTTCATGCTAACTCTTAAGGTATTTCTCATTCATCAAATTCAGGAAATCATCAATATTGATGAAGTCTTATAAATAAAAAGTGCTTGCAGAAATTTTTTGCTTAATATATTCAAAATGAATTTCTAGGCCATGGTGATTGAGGTTTTCAAAAATTATTTTTGATTTCCTGAAATCTAGACTCTTATGTGCCTAAAAAGTTTCGTTTAAGTAAAAACGCCTGATTTTTTTGGGTTAAATGCCAAATTCAATAGATGTTTAGTTATTTATTACAAGTACAAGGAAATGTAGCTGTTTATTATTCCTGTTAACATTTTTTCATGAGAAATTAGCTTTTAAAAGACATTTCTTGAATTAGACAAAAACTTGGCATATTTATTTCAATTTAATTTTAATAAGTAAATTTGAACACAGCAGTACACGAAGTATTTCTGTTAATTTCAAAAAGGCCCAAAGGAATATTATTGAATATTATTGCTAGGTTAATATTTGTCCAGGCAAATTTAAACTTTATTTTATTTTCATAAAGATGAACACAAAAATATTTGGTCATTAACAATTACCCAGAAACATTTTATAGATATATTTTAAGAATATTAAAAAGGAAAGTTCTTATCACATTCTCAAGTTTCTTACAGTTTTATCTGAGTTGATACTGTTCTAAATTTATTCATCTGTTATACCATGTTAAATTCATTATAGCAAAAATAATCCTATATAATTTTGTTAGTTTCCATTTCAAACTTCATTCAATGAACTTCATTTCATACAAAAATGGTATTTATTTGATTCTAAAGAAATGCTTACAAACTTGTTCCGTTCAACTTAGCTCAGTGAAATCATTCTTTGATTAATTTCATCTCATTTAAATTTAGTTCCGCTAATTCACCTGTTATGTTTTAGAGAATCAGTCTGTTTCGTTTTTTTATACTTCGCCAAAAGTTCCGGAATATCTTTGGAAATAGCCAAATCCAATTTATCCATAGGGCATCCACGAAAATAGCTGCAAGTTGAGGCTAGAGGCTTGAAATCATATAAAGGATGTAATTTGAAAAATTCTTTATAAGCTGATGGATTTGGCAAGTCGTAGCGACTAACATTAGTCATGCCTCCAAAACCGTCAAAGAGATTATAATTATGAGGATTTTCAATAATAGATTTTGCAACATTTCTTTTATTGCTGAATATAGATTTATGTCTGTAATAAGTAGCTAAATAGCAGTCGATCATCTTGGCATGATTCCTTACTCTGACAGCATGTCTTCTAGCATACAAGATTCTATTCTCGACGCGTTTATCCAAAGTATCTTTCATGTCATAGAAATAATTTTTCTCTTGGTCAGCAAGGAATTTTGCTGGTGCAGATGGATGAAAAGGCTTCGTTGTTAGTGAGACAGCGTAAATGAGAGGAGCTTCTGTACTGCTCATCAAAGGGGATAAATTCCAGAAGAGTTGACCCACTACTCGCATGAGATCACTGCGTCGAATAGTGTCTGCTTTGTTGAGGAGAAAACGAGCATCTCTGCCTTTCAGTTGATCAACAACAGATCCCAATTCTGCTCCGATATCTACTTTGCTCGGATCAAGAACAACATAGATAGCATCTGATCTATCGATGAACCACTGAAAAGCATCACTTAAAGAATAACCTCTTTCGGCAGTTTTCTTATTTTCCAAAATACCAGGGGTGTCAACAATCGTGATCTAAAGAACAAATAAAAGATTCAAAATTATAAACTTATTATATGTATACTTTTAATGGTAGTGAAATCACAGAAAAAGTAATAGAGACGAGTTCCGGATCGCTTTTTGTGGTCCGAGTCCGAAGAATTTTAATCCGAGGTCAAAATACATCGGATTACTTAGAACTCAAGTTAGAAGAAGCCCAAGATATACGCCAGATAAAGGTCAAATTTTGCAATCTCGCTACTCAGCTTTTGATTTCTAAACAAGAAAATCAGCCATAAATACCTTTTCGGTCACTACCCAGTAAAGCAAACATCGAAGAAAAAAGTCTGGAATTGAATGTGAAGGGAAAGAGAAACGTCACTGTCAACAATAGCTAACATTTATTTTTAATCGCCTTCAAAATTTCCAATTAGATACCCTCTTTGAAAACAGTTAAGTTTAAGAATTTATTTCATTCTGCTTCCTCTACTGCATTATGTAAGAATATATTTTTCAGTGTAGTAGAATCTCTCAGTGCGTCATTTGAACGCATCTAGAATTGAATGTGAAAGAGAAATGTCGAAGAGGAATTGTTAACAACAGCAAACATAAATTTTTTTTATAATCTGTAAGATTCCCAATCAGAAACCCTCTTGCTAAACCATTAACTTCAAGAATTTATTTTCCTTTTGTTCTACTTCCTATACTTTTTATTTTATTTTATAACCGTCATTGAACAGTCGACCCAAATTTGGGTTTACGACTACCAATGTTCAATTACAAAGCCTTGTAAATTTGAACCCAATCCAAAAGACAAGGGAACTCCTGGATCAAGTATTGGAAGAAATTTGCCTTCTTGGAGGACTTTTTGATGGAACTAACCCGCATTTGCGTTACATGGAGAGAAAGACCACGAGAACCCCCCACTGTTAGCTTGAAGGGAAGGGAACTTTAACCCATGATCCGTCTACCACTTAGGATATTTCACGTCAGCACTGTGGGCGGTTTTAAGCCGGATGCGGAATTCATATCGACCAGCCACCGCAGGGATTCGAACCCGGTTCACCTCATTGGATGGCAAACGTTCTATCCTCTGAATCATCGCGGCTCTGCTTTCTCTGTTGCATTATGCAAAAATATATTTTTCAGTGTAGTAGAATCTCTCATCGTGTCATTTGAATGCATCATAATAACATTGATTGCATTTCTCTCACGTTGATTCGTCAAGGAGCGACGTCCAACGCCTGGTTTAGTACCAATAACAGAAACTCCAATATAACTGATACAAAATTATAAAATAAAATCAAAATTTTAAGCTAAATTAAAATCATCTGACAGTAAGAGTTGCCTCACAAAGAAAAAGCACTGAACAGAAGTAGCAGAACGCAGTAATTTTTAAAGCTTATAAATTATACATTTTCTTAAGCTCAATAACTGAACCAAATGTTTGTGGGGCAAAAGACTTTTGGACTTTGCACTAAATGTAAGACTGCTCAGGCTTCGCCCGAGCATATTCCAAACTGCATCGATTTTAAGATCGACGAGGCTTTTTCAAACCCTCATCTGTTTTTAGACTTTCTGGACATTTTTGAACTTATGGAATTGGTCTAATTAGGATGGACCTCTTGGGGATTAGAAACAACACCAAATGTTTGTTAAAAGTAGTAGAGAAGTTTATGAACTTTTTATTATGAGTTCGAGCCCCCACGAGTTCAATTTTTTCCCCAGTAAAGTTACAAAAATTAATAACTGAGGGAACTGATGTGAGATTAAGGAGTCCCGCAGTGGACTGATCGTTAAGACACGGTTCCCAGCAGATCACCGAAGTCAAGCATCGCTGGCTGCTGTCAGTGTGCGGGTGGGTGACCACTTGTATCAGTTTCCGTAGGGACCGAGGGTGCGCGGTATTGGTCCTCGTTAAACTGTTCTACCGCAAAGTGCTCGACTTCGCGGGCAGGTCGTCGGGCTACCGAAGCGGGAGTGCCATCCCCTCTGCAGAGGATCAAAATTGTGATGGCATGTCTTCGGATCATCCGCAGGGATGTTTCCCAGACCGTCGCCAATAGCCCATTGTGCAGCTCTAGTGCAACGTAAATGAACTACAAAAAAAAAAGATTAAGGAAAGTCCAATTTTTATATTAATTTAATATAGCTGCCTTGATTAGTGCGAGAATCGTTCTCATATGTTAAACCAGTCTTCTTTTGTGAGGTAGACCTATTCTGCATCTTAATTGTAAAAGAAAACGTGAATGATTCGCGAAAGAGTTGTAGTTGCATTGCTATTGCTTTGTTACCAATAATTTCTGATTCTGGACTCATTTGTTCCAGCATTTATCCTCCTTATTACATTTTAACCACATCAAAACATACAATCTATGTTTTTTCTTAAAATTATTTTTTTTAAATTTGAACGGAGCGTGTTTAAATTAAAGCTAGATTTAAAAAAATAACTAATTAAAATGGAAATAATTTCATTTTTATTTTTAATATAATGGGACTAAACATTTACCTTTTTAAGTAAAGTGTGTTTGATTTCAACTCCACGGAAATGGTCGAGAAAGTCTTGGCCGAATCTCTGAACACCCGCATAGCGCCAATCAGCGGCAAGTTCTGTTCCACTTCGAATGCGATGTGTCTCCCCATAAGTTATCAAGGTGAAATCTGTATCAGTTATTCCTGTCCCTAAAGTAAAAATTAAGACATTCATTTTTACGTACGTAATTCAGAAAAATAAAAAAAAAAAAAAAATAAAAAGCTCTACGCATGATTTTTCCATTCATACATATACGAATGCAAAATTTACTTATATTTAAAAATATTACCTTTTTCCAAAAATCAGGTGTTTTACTTAAGTTTTCTTCATCAAACGTTTTTATTTTTACTCTGTTAATTTGAGAGATGAGTTTAGTCAGATAATTTTCTGACTGTCATCAACTAGTGGTGGTGTTTGGTTACATAGAGAGAAATGAGGTTAGTATTCTGCAGTTTATTGATTCAAAAATGAACAAAACTGATTTGAAAGTACTGAAAAAGTATCGAAGCAAGTCCTGAGAAGCTTAAGCTGAGAGACGATTTTAATTTTCAGCATGCAATGACACTAAGCAATCGGCGCACATGTGAGGCTATGACTGCTTTACAATGTGCAAAATTAGTTCCGTGCATCATTCCAGTCACCAAATCTTAATACAATAAAGCATTAATAGGAGTTAATCGAACAGAAAATCAGGAAGGAGGAAATAACATAAAAAGAAATGCTTATATTTGTCATAGTAGAGGAATGGAATTAAATAACGAGAAAAGATCTTAAATCAATCTCAAATAGGCTGAGAGAGGTTCTAAAAAAAGAGGATAGCCAACAAGATATGAAGTCACAAGTAATTATTGTAGACATTTTTGCCAGTGTACGTTTTTGACAAGCACGATTTTAGCCAATTAAGTTAGAATTTATAATTTTTTAAAAATTTTATTATCAGGTCATTGTTGTTTTTACCATACAAAGGAAAGCCGTTACAGGGAATTTATAAAAAATGAAGACTCCACACACATTTACTTAATGATCCATGCGTAAACATAATAAAAAAAATTCGTATGCGAACTTTCGGTGGTCAATTAATTTCTTTTCAATTTTAGGGTTCAGGATAAAAAATTATGTAGTTTAAAGTGATGTAAAAATTTTAATAAAATCGCTCCATTAAATTTTTTATTATTCTTATCTACTTAACGTATTGGCAAATAAGTTCCCTGTAGTATTTGTTACTTACGTTTGCGAACCTAGTCACTTGCTTTTGTCACCTGTACGTGCTTATAAATTTTTACTGGTGTTATTTAAAATCTTAAAAAATATCTGGTGTTCCGTAATGATCACCCTTAATATCTATTTTTAGAATCTTTCTCAAAAAGCAAATCAAAAAGTATGTCTATTAGGAGTTGGAAATAATATTTACACTAGGAAAACAACAAAAACATCATCGGTATCAAAAAATTCACCACTGGGGAAGGCTGGACTAACAATATCAAAACCTGTTTCATTGCTGGATGATACAAAGAGGAGTTGAAATGGGAATATTAGAAACGCTTCGAAGCTTTATCGGGAAAGCAAACTGGTTTTGATCTTTTCTGTCCAGCCTTCCTTAGTAGTGTTTTGCTAAAATTCAAGTGCCTCTTTTGTTTTTTTCCTCTTGTTTAAATACTAATTTGTTATTCCAACTGTGTATATGAATTAAAAAACTGTGTAATGAATTGAAAAACTGAGAAAGAAAATCCTTTGAAAGAAAATGAAAGAAGAATTTTTTTCAAACCGAGCAATTTCAATTCCGCTTTAACAGTTTTCCACAGATATATTTTATGACTTAATTTACTTAAAAGTATAGGTTTAGGTATGAAATTTTAAAATATTACAGAATGCTTTTCCTGCTTATTTATTTATTCTCATAAACCCGCTGGCTTGTGTGCTCATTACAAAGAACGTATTATGAAATTTTAGTGGTTAAGGGCACCGGACTGCCATTGTAAAAATGGGGTTTGATTCTGATTGGTGGCTTGAACCTCATCAAGCATCAGATCGATGGGTACCGTCTTGTTTTGGAAGTAAAGACGACTTGTGCGCAGTATACTGACGACTATTCTACAATCATGTCGTTGGTCATGGAATAGTGAAACCTTAATCTCCATTCAACGGGCTGTTGAGAGATTGCTTTACTAAGTCGAACAGATAGCGGAACTAAAAGGACCGCATAAAAGATATATCCATGGTCACGACGAGATTCGAACCTCGTTACATTTATTCGACAGTGCGTTTAGCGGAAAGGAGAAACCTCTCGGGCATGGATGCTCCAAGGTAGGTACTTTATTTACAGCACAAGTGGCTATTGTGCGACGGACTAGGAAACATCCTTGAAGATGATCCAAGAACATGTCATCACAATTTTGATCCTCTGTAGAGGGGATCTCATTTGTAAGGCCACTTCCTTAATTTAGGTATAAATCTGAAGGGGAAAGGAAATTTTCTCCAGATCTCTGTAACCATGGTACTGCTTTGAGACAGACCACAGGACTTTCGATTTCACAGAACTTACGAGGATGCTGTAGGTCATTTTCGTCACGCTAGAGATACACAAAGGGCTATTGGCGACAGTCTGAGAAAAATCCTTGAGGAAGATCCGAAGACGTGCCACATTTGATCCTCTGCTGAGGGGATGGCACCCCGCTTCGATAGCCCAAAGACCTGCACGCGAAGTCGAGTACTTAACGGTAGAACAATTTAACGAGGACCAATACCGCACACCCTCGGTCCCTACGCAGACTAATCCAAGTGGTCACCCACCGGCACACTGACCGCAGCCAGTGATGCTTGACTTCGGTGATCTGCTAGGAACCGTGTCTTAACGATCAGCCCATTGCGGGGCTGCTCTAAATGAACTATTGCATAAGCAGTGAAGGCAAAGCTCTAAACTAGCCCAAACAACGTTAACTTCTCTTGCTTGAACTTATTTTGAAAATTTGTTTATCATTCTGTATTATAACATAAAAAGATTTAACTCTTTAGTTTCGATTTTTTTAATTATCGTATTGAGTTTAGAGAAGATTTACCCCTAGATTTATCTCTATGTTGTTTTTCTCTAACTTAGTTATTTGTTCTTCAACTTGAAAAGGGCCTATAACACGTACTTTGTAATGAGAACACAAGCCTGCATATGAAACCATAAATTTAGCTAAATTGAGCTCAGTGACTCGCTAAATTGCTAAATTTACAAGACTATCGTTCGTAAAGAGAATCTTAAAATAGAGAGAGTATGAAAATAGCCCTGGTTACGCATTAACAGAAGTTTCTGATAAAAGGTTAGATTTTGTTAATTTTCCTTACAATTTGCTTTATTTTTGTTACTTTCAAGCCAAATGTATGTATCTGTTAAAAGCTGCAATCAATTTAAAATAAATTTGTTTGTAGTAACATAAGGCTAATTTAAAATCATCTTAATTGAGTGTATTATGATTGCTTAGCATTAAGAGTAGTGATTTTTTCAAATTATTATTTTTAAAACACTTTAAATATTTTCACTAAACGTACTTTCTAAACAAATATTTTATTTTCAAGTTTTCACAAACGAAAGTTAATATTTGAAAATGCTACGAGTATTAAAATTGCCACGATTCAAATTAAAAAAAAATTACGGACTTTGATTAATTTTCAGATTTTAGTGTGTTGTAGATTGTTTACTAGTGAAATAAGGTGACTTTTTTTCAAAGAAATTAACATTTTTTAAGCTCTTTATGTGATTCCCCCCCCCAAAAAAATGCGCTCTGTAAACAAATATTTTTTCTTCCTACTTTTCAGGATTGAAAGTTAATTTTTTCAAATGTTACAAGATTCATAATTGCTATTTTCAGGTAGAAAAAAATAAAGATGAAATTTCGGAACGCATTCTTGTACACAAACGCCGAAATTGTGCTAAACTGTTTATACTTTACTACTTTAAGAAAATATAACACCTGAAAATTTAAAAAAACTTGTTACAATTTCTTATAAGGAAATAAATTAGCTATAGCAAAAAAAAATTTTTTAAATTTTTTTTTGAAAATATGTTTTAAATGTGCAAATTTTGGAGAGGAAATGGTGTGAAACGGCAGCAGCAATGAATGATACGCTTTTTATAAAATATATTCATTAGTGGGAACTAACTTACAACAAAAACGAAACCACTGTTTTTCATAGTTTGTATTGGAAGGCGTTATTTTTTTAAAAAATTAATATAGTGAGTTGTGCGATAGAAAAAATAGTTAAGTTTTGACTACATTTCGAAAGTAGTTTGCAATCACTACATTTAACTAAAAAAATTGTAGTTAAGTACAATCAAAGATGTCAATAATTTAGAGAATTAAAGTATGATATAGCATTTTGATTATCAGACAGTTAATTTCCTTTTAATATTTATGAAAAAATTTTTTTAGTAGTTGATTGTGAAATTATAATGTTTTTTTTTTAACGTGAAGTTAAATTCCAATTTTGAAAAAATACCTGTTTTGAGTGCATTTGGAGTTCTTTCAGTTCCTAAGAGATAGTTAATAATTGTTGTTTTTCCACCATTCCATGGACCAAGAAATATCAACATTGGTTTATTGAAGATTTCCGCATCTATTAAGAGAACAAAACAAACTTATAAATTTCAAGCAAGATAAATTCATTCATAATTTTTTAGTTTTAATGCTTTCGTGTTTGAAATTTAAATAAAAACATCACGTATGTATAATCCCGTAATCTTAGGAATACGACGAAATATTTATACTTCGTTAACAGAAAATTATAGGGCTTTTGTTTGTATTATCAAACGGCTTTTGCTTATCAAGCGTAATTGTAATTATTTCAAACTACTGGACATAAAAATTACTGCTAAATTTGGGGTAAAGTGATTTCTGCATGAAAAATAGGTTTTATACAATATTTACTATAGTACAAATATTTTCCTATTTAATAAGGGGCTTCACCACCATGTGATCTTAATTCTTGTTTTTTTTTCTTTGCTTTTTTTTCAAATTCAGCTCATAACATCCTTTGATTTTGTTACCTTGAATATTACATTGTCGCTTCTGTTTAGTTCTTTATAGCTGCTTCTGTTCTTGTGCCAGTTCTATATTTTGATAAGACCTATTGTTATCTACCTTAACCAATACATAAATATTTAACACTGTCTAACTCCATCCCTTAAGGCTCAGGTGATTTTCAGGGGAAGGGGAGGAGCTCAATAAGGGGTCGTCTTTGGTGTTATTAGATAGTTTTTCCCCAATAAAACACATCTTTTTTATTTTTTGATCTAACAAGTATTTCTCAAGATAACTCCATTTAAAACAATTTTCCAGAAATTTTTATTTATCGAATACAGCATTATAAGTGAACCAAAACACAAAATCTGTAGGTAAAATTTGTTATACTTTTTTCTGGAGAATCTAAATTTGAAATGAAAATTAAGATTCTTCATTAAAGATTTGAACCTGCCCCCTGTCTCACTCCAAGAAATGAAGTTGAAAAAGTGATATGATTGAAATTATACTTCGAAAATATTTGACTAGCGCATTTTTAGTTTTTTCATTCCAGTTGTATTTCCGTAGACATTTGGTAGTTTTATTACTTTTCTAGTGCCTTCTGTGTATAGATACATGTGTGTATATGTATACAAGATACAGGGTAGCGCAAAGCATTCGCCACCTCGCCGAATGAGTGAAACAGTAAATTTAGCAAAATTTGTTTGGCGAAAGTATTGGTGAATAATTTTTTCCACTAGAAAGAAAAAAATATATTTGACTCGATTTTTAAAGTAGTCGTGAACGTTTTTTAAAGTAGCCGTGAGATTCTTAAATATTAAAAGGTTAAGTTAAAAGATTAAAAGCAATTCATAGTAGGATAGGTTATAAAAGCCTTTAGGCTAGTGAAGTTTGTTTTTTAGTTTATGATAATTTATACTTTTATATTTTGATTCTAAAAATGACCTTCATTTTTAATGTATTTCAATGCATGTATATATATATATATATATGTTTCAGAATCGTGACACAATGGATGATTATATGGTNTATATATAGCAAATCAGTGGAGGGATGGAAAGGGTCCTTTAACCTCTTAAATTTTCAAATGAAATCGTCACACATTTTATTCGAGTATATTTTATAGAATTTTGCCTTAATTTTCATTATCTTTTAAAAGGTATATTGCGCCTTTGAAAATCTTTTCATCTTCTTAAAATGTTCTAAATTTTCTTAAGTGTGTTCCAAGCTCTTTTGCCGAGGAAGTTGAAAAAAAAGCTGTAATTTTATTGCCTTAAACTCAAAGCAAAGTTCTATTTTTAAGCAATATATACTGCTTTATACTGAAAATATTTTTCTGTATTTTAAAACATATAAATAGCTCCTATACTTAAACAATTCAACTTCTCTTCTTTTAATTCTATTTGGAGCGATTTTTCCATCTAAAGGAAAATTATTTAAATCAATTAGCAGTTCTCAATTTTCGCTTTTTTTGTTGTTGTCCAAACAACTATTGAAGTCATAAATGTTTTTTATTTTCACAAAATTATGAATTTTCTGTATAATTGATATTTTGAGCATTAAGTTTGAATAACTGTTACAGAAATACAATAGTTATAATTTCGTTAAAAAGGATTATTTCATCCGGTAACTTTGAAGAAATGTTTTAAGGGAATCTGCAAAATGTACCATTAGAAGAAAGAATCTAAAAGGAAGAGGACGAAGCATTGCATAAGCAATTCAAATAAATTTCTGTCAGGGAAGAAAATTGACAGTATTTTACATATTTTATCATTAGGGGGAGGGAAGAAAGCAATTGGTTTCAAAGGCAATATCTTTAGAAAATCAACTAAAAATATATAAAATAATCTAAAAAAGCTTTAAAATAAAAATTTAAGCTAATTTTGTGGCCGGCGTTTCATCAGAAGTTAATATATAACATACCATTTAATAATAAATAAGAAAAAAGCGAAAAATACGTTTTAAAATATAATATTTTTTGCGAAATTTCAATTTTTACAAATTTTTAAATCCAGTTATGCCGGAAGCGTTAATCGGAAAAAAATTGAAAAGAAACAACATTTAAAGTTAAGAAACACGGCACAATTTTCATTTCACTGCCTTACGTTAATTAATATTTGAACTAAAATTTTTTGACTCACAGTCCATCCACCGTAAGAAGACCTTTGACCTCAGAGAATTCTCATTGACGCGGAAGTATCATTGAGCTAAACAAGGTGCAAAGTTTTATTATGATGTAAACCGTAAACTTTGTTAAACGGGCTCCTGTTTTAAATAATTGACTCATATCATGATGATATCATGATTTGGCCTACCATTGTCTTTGTATTATTGTTGAACTGTACCAAAGTTACAAATGAATAAAAATGAGCTATTGCAGGTGCAACAATTCAAGGTTAAAAACTCTAATACTTCGGAAAAAGGTACATTTATTTTAAATAATACGTTTTTATGCCTCATTTCATGACTGAAATTTAGTCTGCTCTAAATGATTACTATATTTTAGGTATTTTCTCAAGCCATGAAGATTTAATTTTATATTACATAGTAATCTGATCATTAGGCCAAAAGTTATTCAGTTAATTAAAGTCATTAGTTATGAAAATCTCTAGAAGCATTAAAAAGACATGGTTAAAATTTGGAAGTATTCAAATGTAGACGAAAATAGTAGTTTAATGGCGATTTTGAGACATTTTTTGAGATCATAAAAAAGTTCACCCCCCATAAGTTTCACATTTTTTTCATAGGATTTGTAATGGTTCCTAAATAATGTTGCATTTGAATTTTTTTTACTTATTTGTAATTTGCGACTGTTAATAAATGCTTTTCGCTACATTCACAAAGAAGATTATTTATTGAAGCAAAAAAAAAGAAAAAAAAGAAAAGGGAACCCGAACTGCAGTCTTTATGGGTCAGCTGTTATTAAGACTGTTTTTTTGGCACAAATTTTGTGATAACAGATTCGTAAATAATTTCGACGAGATCATAATTCCAAAATTAAAACACTTCAAGGGGACTTCTCAAAACAATTATCGTCATCGCAAGTATGTTCGTCATCCGGATCTACTTAAAAGAAAAAAGAAAAAAAAAAAAAAAAGCTAAGGTTTTTAACCGATCTTATAGTTCATAGTTTTTCTTTTGTTCACATCAAGTCTTCATGCTGTTTTTAATTGTTTATAAGATAATAACTCCTTTTATTTCGTTATTGAGCTATCTTAAAAATAGGAATAATAAAAGTAATTTTATTATTATTGATTTTTCATGATTTTACAAGCTTGAAAATCTTTTTTCTACGTTGAGCCTCTAAATCATAGATTCTCAACCTTTTTAACGTTGCCACCCTCCTAAGGAGCAAAAAAAAAATTTCAACGCCCCCCTTTGTGAAAATCCAGTTATTTTGAGCAAGGGAGTGGTGGGGTGGCTGAATTATAAGAGGCAACATTTTTAAGCAATTTTTTTAGGAGTTAAATTTGCTTTGAGTTAAATTTAAAAAAATTAATGTGCACGTTAACTCGATATTTTTCTCCCGATATTTTTCGACTCGCAGTCTATTTGTTATAATCAAAATAAATACAGTATTGAAAAAAAAAGCAACAAAGAAACCTGTAGTTAAAAAGAGTAATTTATTCTTAATTAGATAATGAAAAAAACACCCCAAAAAATTTTTTTCACTCTAAAAATTATTATCAATGAAACAATCAAGTAACTATGTTAGTGGAATGATTGTGCTTGATGGTTCAGAGCCAGTTTCATAACATTCGGTTCAATATTTTTAGTGAGGTGAAGACGCAAGCTCCCTCGGGTATTTTTTTTTGTGTTTTTTTTTTATCCGTCACAGCACTACATCTTTGTTCGACAAGGTAGGAGGAAGACAATTTAAACTTTTTTGACGGCAGTCCATAGTCCAGACAAGTGGTGTTACCTTGAAGCCAAAATTCTGTGAGATAATCACTATTTCAATGTTTCGCACTTTGAAAGTTCGACTGATTCCTCCTGAATCTCTGCTGTTTCAATATTCAGAGAAAAATTCATAACCCATTGAGGGACTTTCAGGGACAAAACATCTTTATAACGGTCAGAAAAGTCCATGTATAAAGACTCATGGTGTTAGCAATAATCTTGTGTATCATCAGAGGGAATTTCACTATTCTTTTTAAGATCCGATAAGATTGGAAATTGGTTAAACCCATTCCGACCAAAATTTTGTTTCTACAAAATGATTTTTTAAAAAAGTCAGAAATAACTTATTTTGTAGTGATCAAATTGAGGCTTGTGACCTTAAAGTTGTAAATTAACACCATTAAATTTTGAAAATAAACCGATCATGTATACAACTTCTATATTACACTCTAGCAATCTGTCCTTCAGAACTATATTTCTGTCTTTGAGGAACTGAAGTACAAAGTCAACAAGATTCTAAAACCTATTGAGACAGGCGCCTTAAGAAAGCCAGCGAATCTCAGTGTGTAGTAGCAAGCGATTGAATTCATTGTTTGTATTTTTTTACACAGCTTACGAATAATCGATCGTTGAGAGCATTACTGCGAATTTTTTTCACAGCCGAGCTCGGCATATTGCAATGACTGATGCAAACGACAGCTGGGATTGGAATACTGTCTGAGAATCACGCAGCGAACAGCTAAAATATCTGGTACCTCCTTCTTCAAAAGGGCGATAAACCCACGATGTCGACCCACCATTGCAGGAGTTTCATCAGTGGCAACAGAGATAATATTCGCAAGAGGAATGTTTTTCTGTTTAAAATAATCTTTGGTAGTATTAAAAATAGATTCACATTTGCTTTCTACAATCAAGCTTCTTGCGAAAAGCATGCCTTGAATAATTTTTCTTTCTTTAACAAACCAGATGTACACCAGTAGTAAAACTTCATTACTTGGCAAGGTTGACTCATAAACTTGAGGGGAAAATACGTTGGATATCAAAAGTTTGCATAATGAAACTTCAATGTCTTCAACCATCTCATCATTTCGTCGCTGCACTTAATCATTGCTTAACGGGATATTGTTGATTACATTGGATGCAGCTGGATAGTGTAAAACTGTTTCTGAAACTTCCCTGACAGCCGGCAGTATCAACTCTTCGCCGATGGTATGAAAGATTACCAGATTTAGCAATTAATTTTGATGTATTATAAGAGGCTATCAAACTATCGTCGCATTTTTGGGATGAGGTTGCTAGTAAGCCTGAGAACGCAGGTGCCATCAGAAACTTGTGTTGGATGCTCGTGAAAAATGACAGATCTTTATTTAGTTTGGGTGGATGAATTTTTTTCAAATTCTGTTGAAAACAGGAAGGTTTCATTGCTTCATTAGATAAAACTTTCTATCAAAGTAAGCACATGGGTGGTTGAGAGTTTAACGGCGATTGAACAAATCCAAACTTCAAGTACGTGACACTGTATTGACGACAATTCTTTTTGTCAGTTGGAGGCAGCAAACTACAAACGGCAAAAGAAAATAAACTGTTTTTCCAAATTAATAAATAACTTACGATAAAGAACTTATTCGCACACGTACCTAGCCAAATAAAAGTGAAATTGAATCGAAACTGGGAGGAAGGCTAAAAGGAAGCTAGTAAAAACCTTCATACGAAATATGGGACAAATCAAACATTCATACTGAAAGCACATGCATTTCAATTTTTGCCAAATGGCTCGTATGAGTCAAAGGCAAAAACCACTGATTCATGCGTTGCGCTGGTCTGAATTCGAGAACATAAATCACATAAAGTTCGTTTTATTGCTGGTACAAATGGTGAATCAGATAATCTTAATTTAATATATTGTTCTAATCTTCCTTTTATCATTAATTTTAGATTAATTTTATAAATTAAATCAATAGTAATTTAATAATTTTATTTGGGATCTTAAAAATTAAATTTGAATGACAAAACAGGCTCGAATGACAAAACAGGCTCAGCTCCCCCCTAACGCCCAAAACATATCCACCGCCCCCTACTGCCCAAAACAAGTTCACTGCCTCTCAGCATACTCCTACCGCCCCCGTTGAGAAACAATGCTCTAAATTATTATTTAATTACTGTAGCTTCATGCCCTTATTCAAAATTTAATATTTCATATAATTTTGCAATTTTTTTTTGTGATTTGTGAAAAATAGTTCACCTTGTTCATTTTAAGGAAACGAAAAAATAATCCATGCGAAACCAGGGAAGGCAAAAAATAGCGTAAAATAAATTGCCTCTATTGATTTTATTGATAAAAATGAAAAAAAAAAATAGGTTTAGTGATTTAATCTAATTTTTAATGCAACAATTATTAAAAAAAATTTTTTAAAATCATTTTCATCAAAATTAAGAAGATATAAAGTATATAGACTACTAAAAGTGCTTCTACTTTTACTTAGAATTTCTAAACTTAAATATTCATAAAAACAACCCTTTTAAAGCAATGTTTTTAAAAATAATAGCTGTTTGAGTTAAAGATATCATTTTACTGTCGATTACTGGTAATCAATTGCAAGGGTTATATGTGCGGTTTCGTGCAAATTATAAAATATATTTACTTATAATTTGAAAAAATTTACTAAAGAAAGGTATGCCCTGTATAACATTTTGACATTTGAAGATCAATCTAAATTAGAAATCACTCAAGAAAAGATTTTATATTATACTACATAGAAGATTTTTTCAAGTAATTATTACTCATAAAGGAAGTAAGTGTATAACTATGCTAAAAAAAATAGACCAAACAACTTGAATAACTTTTGATCTAATGATCGGATTTATACACATTAGTACTCAATCTTAATTTTTTAAGGGGGTGGACCTCAAATATGCTTAGGGCAGGCGATGGTTTAAGTAACGAAATCAGAGACAAACACGCACTTTCTCCGAATAAACTTGATTTTTTTTCAACGGTTTTGGATTCCTTACCTTCAAACTATGGTAAGGCGAGCGGACAAAAGTCAGAATCCCTTAATGGTAATTTTTCTTTTTGTGTATGTCTCGAGAACTTTTTAAGTAAATTAAAACATTTTGCACGCAATTATAAAAAAGCAAATAATAACTTTATTAATAATAATGTCCAAGCAAATAATAACTTTTAGTAATTATTTATTATTTTATTTAATAATGATATTTTATTTACTAATGACCGAAAAAATTTTGAATTGTAACGTATGCAAATTTTTACATCATTTTAAATAATGTAATTTTTAATGACTAAATACAAAATTTAAACAAAATCTGTCGAATAGTTCCCGAGAAATTGAACTTAAAGTTAGTCAGATTCTTAAATTTCGATTTCTCGGGAACTATAAGACTAATTTTGTTCAAATTTTGTATTTTGCCATAAAAAATTACATTACTTAAAATGATGTACGAGTTTTTACCTTTACAATTCAAAATTTTTTCGACTATTAATAAAAAAGAAAAAGAAATAATAATTTAAAATTACTTTTTAATGGAATTATCTTTGGGTAAACGAATTTTATAATTGCTTGCAAAAATGTTTTATTTCACTAAAAAAAATTCTCGAGGTGTGGTGAAATTCGTAAAAAGCAAAATCAACGATAAGGGGTCTAAGCTTTCGACCCCTCTCCTGACCAAACTATTGGGACCATATTTCCCAGATTGAGCTAAATCCTATATTTTGGGGGGTTAAGGGGTTATTAAGGGGTTTGGGGGTTAAGGGGTTATATATATATATATATAAATTAATTAATTAATGACAACTAATCTCCCCATTTCCAGTACTTCTGCCAAATAAGAGAAATAATAATCTTATCTCTAGCGGAATTTTTATTGCTTTCTCAGTTTAGGATGACAGAGCTTTGGTACGCTTATAAAACTCTTTGACCACAAATACATTTAAACCAAAAAATACATTATAATTATCATTTATAATTTTCTGAACAATATTGTCTGACAATTTTTATATGCTAGCCAGTTAATTTTCTATTCCAAAGATCAAAATTTAAAACAAATCCATAGTAAAGTTTAAAGAAAATTTTAATTACTGTACACATTATTTGCTGTTATTATTATAAATTTCTTAAGCGATAAAAGAAGCAGAGTGTAGGTTAGAATTTTAATTAGGTAGATGAAAAGAATTTCAATTTACAACATATTTAAACGTTTTTTTCTATCCTTTAGATTAAATAGTGTGACTCTGTATCAATAAAATGTGCTTGATTCATTTACCAAAACCAAAATTGTTCATCGCGTAATACTACGAAAAGTCAATGATGTTAGAGTGAATTTTCCGATATTCCGCTTCTTAATGCATCTCAAGATTCAAAATTTCGGGAAGGTAGCTAAGGCTTTTGTCACCAAAGTTGCAATCTTAAATGATCGCCCCGTTTGACGATTTCACTTTTAATAAGAGTAATTTTCCGTTTTATGTAAGTTGCTATAGTGTGCGCAATACTGAAATACTGCGTGCCAAGCTGAAATGTGAATTTTTGGGAAAAATAGAAAGTGATAGAAAAAAGAAATTATTATAAATTTGTTAATTCCAGTCAAAAACATACAAGAAACACGGGCACATGTGTTTCTTTTTACCTAAAGGACATTTTACACGTTGTACAATGTAATAAAGATTATAAGACAATCAAAAACAAATAGCAGTACCTCACCTCCAAGAACCCTCGTTGTACTGTCTGCGTACTTGTACAGCATTTCTATTGGTTTGATTTGTGAGAGGTATATCTTTTTGATTTCCTTGAAGATACTTTGGGCGAGCTTTTCTTCTTCATTATCGTATTCGGTTGCAATCTCATCAAAACCCAATATCACATCAATGTGGTCTCTACTCCTGTATGTGATCCCAGAGGTTGATTCATCCTCTTCCTCGTAAATATTCTCGATCGTGTCGTCGTTTTCATCGTTTATTTCAAGTTCTAGAAACAAAAATAATAAAGAAATAGCTAATAAATGAAAATCATACTCGGTTACAAATTTTGTCAAAATATTGTTCAATTTGCTTTAACCTGATAATGGCGCTGAGTTGAAAAATTTTATCGTATACAGGAGAATAAAAACTTCATAATAAAACTCGACTCGAACGCAGTGCTCATTCTATGTCTTTAATTCAGTTTTGAGTTACAACGACTTCCAAACTTAAAATTTATTAATCAGTTTCAAAATCATGCTGTAAACAGCTAATACTGTAAACAGATCATGTGTTGTCATTGATAAATAATTCTGCTAAATGCCATCTATATAGTCCATTTCGCACGCCAATTAGAGAAGACAGAGTCGCCAACAGACGGATCTGATGCCATTTACAAGGGAATGGACACTCATATGAAAGAAATAAGACTCAAGAGCATCAAAATGAGCAGATATGTCAGGAATAAAAATAATTTTCGCGTCATTGAAGTTAGATTTATGCCAAACAGCCCAATAATATGCGGCGACAAATGGTTTATTAAACTCTTGACGACGGACAAATTTTTTGAGTTCCATTAATTTCTTTGTTTTTTTCATTTCATATTATCATATTTATGTATATATTTCGCATAATTAATTATACGATACTATGGCTAAACTAGAACGGAAAAATGATTCTATTGAGCACCTTAGGAAATTGTAAGGTAGTATCAAATTTAAGCCGTATTATGGTTCAAGATATCATCCAAATGGTTAAACATTGAGCAAACTTTTTCTCAATTGGAGTTCTTGAAAATAAATTAATTTGAAATGTTTACAAAAATTGTGATGGAAAGGGATTTTTAATTAAAAAAAAAGAGCTTAATTTCCCAAAATTTTGATACTCAGTGTTCCATATTGAATTCCCTTAATACCGTTATTAGTCTTTTCAAAAATTGAAATATAACAGGTATTCATATTTTTTTTAACGGCTGGCTTTGAACTTTTCATTCCTCACTATGGAAGGTGCCGGAAGTGTTGCTCATTTTGGTTGCCTGGTGAGCATCTTGTGACCAAAGTCACGGAGGCCAGCAACATTATCCTCGCCACACTACCACAGATACACGTTCATAGAGTGGACCACAATCACACATAACACACAACAGAGGACAACACACAGAGAGAAACATCCATGCCGTGAGCGGGGTTCGAACCCCGGCCATTGGCTTCGAAGTCAGGCTCGCTAACGGATCTGCCACCTGGCCGGCGGTATTCATAGTAGGGATCATAAACTAATATTTAAGAGAGGAAAATCGAATGCGCTAATAAAATATAACGAATCACTATTGAGGAAAGTATGACTAAAACATCAAACATATTTGATTGTTTGAGGCATCAGAGGAATTGAAGGATAATTATTAGAATCGTCTTCAAGTTTCGTAGGACAATCAAACTGGTTGTAATGTTTTCAATCCCTATTTTCACCTCCCATGAATAAATAGTAAGTATTTCAAAAAGTTTTATGTTACATTCACACAGTATTGCAATCTATTTTAAATTTTAAGTCTTTAAAATAACGCCAAATTAAATTAATTTATTTTTTAGTTTGTAATCGTTCGTTATAGTTTTTGAACCAAGGAATTTATTTTAAAAGAAATTGAAAATACAGATAGAGAAATTTAATATTATGGCAGGAAATGTTTAAGTTGAATAAGTGATTTTAAAAATGCATTAATTTCGAGTTGTTCTAAATCTTTAACAATTGAAGCGTGTCATATTTAATTAAATAGCTCGGCTTTCATCAAACGAGAAATGCTTTAAATACGAAAGTTTTAATTGATTATTTGTAAAATCAGAAGCCTTTATTTGTTTCACGTAACGTGAGAGTTCCAGTAATGGTCTTAGTAAAGTTTGAAAAATTTTTTAACTGTTTTTTTAAAGAAAAGAAAAAAAATTAAAAATTTTTTTTTTTAATGTCTTTAGACTTACACAACGTTAATTATTTTTTTTTTAATTTCTCACTTAAATAATTTTACTGATCCACAAGAACTGATTTTCAATTCTCTACTTATAGAGGTCCTTACTAAAACTTTCATAAAGCAGGGATATCCGTCATTTTATGTTCTACAATTAGATGTTTTACTGCACTTTTGCTTATATTATCAAATTTTTGTGTAAAATACATGAAATAATACCAAATATTTCTTTCCATTATCCAAACTTGGGTTTAAAACAGCACCTTTAATTAAAAATGAAATAATTTGCAAAATTGTTATTGCAAGTAGCAAGAAAAAAGTGCAGTATTCAAGAAAAAAAAATTATGATGTTAAAATAAATTTCATTTGAGAATATCAATATAAATATCATTAGCGATGACGTAAGTAGTCATTATGAGATGAGATAAGATTTTACAAAACTATTTTATTATGAATGAAAAACGACAACAGAAACAGTGTTTGAAATTTTGGACCATGGTTTACAATTACGAAAGCGACAACAGAAGCGTTGCCAGAAATTTTGGATCAAGATTCACAATTATAAAAGTGATATAAAAATTTTTTAGAAGTTTTGGACCATGGTTCATAATTACGAAAGCGATAAGCGAAGCATTGTTAAAAATTTTGGATCATGGTTCTCCATTACAACAGAAACAACAGAAACGAAAGCTACAACAGAAACATTGTAAGAAATTTTGGATCATGTTGAACCATAAGATTGTTCAAATTCGCTGCAACTTTAACTCGGTGCTAAGTTGATCCTCACAAATCAATTAACTCTAATTTTAATTACATGATGCTATGGTTCATCTTGAACTGAAACAAGGCACAACTTAACACCTTATTAAGGTTGCGACAAATTTGCACGGTATTGTGGTTCAAGGTACCGATATTGTGGTTCAATATTGAGTCAATTTTTCTGTGGATGAAAGAGTATTAAAAATTGAAACAAAGTACATCGATTTAAAATAAAACAAACAAGCATTAAAGCAGAATTTCAAGAAATAAATAAAAAATAATCCCAAAGCAGGCAACTGAAATAGTAAATAAAGTTAACCAACTTGAAAAGAGCACAAAATAATGCCATATAAGCAGGCATAACAATCATAGCTAGAATTCTAGGCATGGCATGGAGTATTCTTCTGTTAAAATCATTCAACATTGTAGTTCAGTCACTGACCTAGATTTCTGAGAGTCATTTCCTGTTTAGAATTATTCTAATAATTTAGTTAATTGCTTTTCTAGTATCCCATTCTCTCCAAATATTTGGAAATCTATTATCCTTTAAACTTCTTCATCTTGCAGTGCTATTGATTCCCTCCCTACCTTGACATCGATCCTCCTCCTTTTGCTTGATTATCAAATTTGATCTTGCTCCCCAACCCTATTGGTCGACCCCTTTTTGCCTTTGTAGTTTTCTTCATTCTGTGTTTTAACACTGAAGAAGAGTCTTCATTATAGAACCGAAGCTGCAGGTATGCCTGTTTATATGACATTATTTGCAACCTTTCCAGGTTGTTAAGTTTTATTCATATCTAGCACAAAGTTAACCCTTTCATCCCTTGGAAACTAAAGTTGTATTTCTCAATCTTGTGGGATGGTAAATGAGCAAGTAGCATACAATGAAGATCTCACACTAGTCATAAAGTGGATTATTTGAATGGCTAATTCATATTGTTTGCCATATGTCATAACAGGAGCTCCCACCTTAATAAAGCTTGTGTTATAAAACGTTTCAATTCTAATGGAGCAAGATGAACTACTCAGCTCTAAACACACACACATAAATGTGCTATAAACTTTATTTTGAACCGTACCTGAGTCTTCTGCATCAAAATCTTGGGATTCTTCGTCATCTTTTAGAAGTGATGCGTTGACATTTTTTTCTTCAGTTTTCGTGGCTTGGGGTTGCTCAAGGGGTGGTTTTTCATCATGAAATTCCGATGCCATTCCAGTTGAAGCACGATCGGCCTCTCCTATAACCTTGGAGAAGCAAAATGAAAACAAAACAAATATATCCCTTTCGAATGTTTTGAAAAATTTATTCGATGATATTTTATTTTTTTAATAAACAAGTAGGAGAGAATGTTTTCATAAAATTATATAATGGCAAGATTTATTTACAATCTTTCACTTTTTATAAATAACTAAATTGTTTCTTTCATAAATATTATTTCAAATTTTTCAATTAACATTTGAGTAAAAATAACTTCAATTAATGCTATATAGTATACGAAAGATACATTTTATAGATTTTTATCAGTTTAATTGCCTTTTTTTTACAGTGCTGAAGTTTATGTGACTATGTTTTTGTAATATGGTAAATTTACTCAATCAATATATGTATTTTGTTACGAGTAAATAACGGGTTGATGCTATTATTAAGAAAATGTGTTAAAATATTATCTAAAATATAAGAACTCATTATTGCAATGGAATACTTGTCAGAATTATACTTGGAAAATAATTCCTTAGAATTAAAATAGCTCGATATCTATGGTGTAAACAATATACACCAGCTGTCTGCGTGGAATTTTTGAACTCATTGCTGCAAAAGTTTTTTTTGGTATGGTAGGAATTCATAAAAATTGTTGGGTCGCCACTGTTCAAAATCTATAAAATGTATATTTCTTGTTAATTTTGACTCCATCCACTAGGAAAAGGAAACAACAACTTGGGTAAATTGTAATTATTTTGAAAGTTAGATTTATAAAGTTATGTAAAACCCTGAGCTTACTTAAGAAATTTTGATGCTAATCTCATTCAATATTTAATAAAAAAATGGTTTCCAACTCCAATTTAATGTAATATTTTTAAGCAGTAGTTTCATAAATAAATAGAAACATTTGAAATTAAAGATAATTTAAGTGTAAAATCGTATTTCAGTAAGTATAACTTTTCTAAATAAGCTTCTTATTAAGAAAATAGTGATTATTATTTAGTTGTCTCTGAATAGTTATCGTCCTTTTAATAAGATAGTTATGCCAAGTTTTGTGCTGAAATATTATCGAGATAAATATTATTGGATTAAAAAGATTATTAACGTTTGTTCAAAGAAAGTTCAATTTCCTAAAAAAAAATCGATGATTTTCAAAAAAATAAAATTTTTTTTTTCAATTATGCAAAAAGTTACAGAATTAAAATTGCAAAAAGTTGCTGAAGAAAATAGTCACATTCCATTCGTTAATTTTATTCATTATCTCATGTTATTGTTTAGGATTGCATTGGTATGATAAACACCCTGTCACTATTTTTATTAGATTAATATAATGAATAGTCGAAAATGAAAGATTTGGCAAAAAACATGAATAAAATTAATTATATTTCTTTCTCAAGTCTTTCATTGTTTTAAACGTGTTTGTGTTTTTCAAGTAATTATATTAAATTTTAATATTACCTTATCACTTTCTATTTTTATCTCAATTTTTATTTCATCACTTTGGGAATCTTCAACTTCCTCATCGGGCTCTTCATCGTCATCACCATCATCATCCTCTTCTTCCTCTTCGATTTCCGTGTTATCTACTATTTCATTTGTTTCTGACTCTTCACTGATTTCAACTTTTTCGTTTTCCTCTTGAGTCTCTTCCTTTCTTTCGAGGTCATGTTCATTTTCGTCTTCTTCATCATCATCATCATCGTCGTCCTCTTCCTCTATGTTGTCAATATTATTACTTACATTTTTTGAATCACTTAAGTTAGAAACACTTTCTTTTTCACTGATTTCGTCTTCCTGATCATCTTCTTCCTCCTCTTCCTCATCTTCCTCATCATTTTCATCAATTTGTTCATCGTCCGCTTTATTTTCTTCTACCTCATTCTCATTACTTTCTTCATCTTCTGTATCCTCATCTACTTCGCTTGTTTCGTCATCCTCCTCATCTTCTTCATCTTCCTCTTCTACATTATTTGTTTCTTCATTTGATGAACTATCTTTACTGCTATTGTTTTGAGTTTCTGTTTCCAAAGAATCTTGTTCCTCTTCTTCATCATCATTGTCAGGTACGTCTTCATCCTCCTCATCCTCATCGCTGTTTTCGTTTTGTTCTTGTATTTCAGGAGCATCATCGTCGTTTTTTTGTTGTTGTATGTTATTATTTTGGTCTATGTGAGGATTATTTGGATCAGATGGTTCTGGTTGGTCCCAATATTGTTCTAATGCTTTTTCTATGTGAACACGGCATTCGGAAGCAGATGATGACTTGGTATCTTTGGAAGGGTCATCGGACTCCGCTAAATTAGTAGAAAATCTGAAATCAGTACATTCATCGTACTCTTAATCTAAAAATACAGCTATAAAGAAGTTTTCGAGGTAGTTACAGGTATGGGGAAATATGCCACATTTTTGACAAAGGGAAAGAGGTGGTCAAAATATTAGAAAATGTGTGACATTATTCATGAACTATCCTTGATTCATCTCGGCTGCCCCCTCTGAAACATTAAAATGCGAAAAAAATATTCCAGTCAGTAGATTTTCGATACGACATATAAATGGAATGTTAAAGTTTGATCTTCATAAGTTTCTTTTCATAATATGTAGAAATAGGATAAGAATATTTTATATTGATTAAGAGATAAATTTGCATTTTGCATACGTAATGTAAATATTTACTTGACAAGCTAGCAGAATTTTTGAAACGAAGTTTGTACTTCAAAGGATTTTTAAAGCATAGATGAAAATAAAATAACTACAGTATCAATTCGAGGAAAAACCATGATAGATCTGAATGCATGATAAAACTATAATCATTGTTAAGAACAAAATCAATTACATATAAATATATTTGTTCTAATTTTCGTTACAAAATGATTAAACCAGTACAGTTTAATTCATAATTTTCTTTCCTCGTATGTAATCTATGGAAAAAAACAATTACTTTTTCCTAATGAAAAAAAATTAAATGGTTCTCAATTTTCTGTTGTCTTTAAGGGTGTTCTTCTGAAATTAGTTGCGAAAAAAAATATTGTTTGATCGCTTAAAATTCAATTTAGGCCTTTAAATTTTGAATAATATACACTATTTTGATTAAAGAAATAAACTGTACTTTAAAACGGACATATATATCAAATATTAGAAAACTAGAGTTTTATTGGCCCATATTTAAAAAATAATTACTAAGTTCAGCAGATGATGCTTCTGGCAGATAAGCAGATAAGACAGTAGAACAATGTTTTCTACTACATGATAGTTAATATCAACTGAACAATTTTCCCGATTGTCTGCTAATATTTTACTCATATTGTTCTACGCTGTTGCTACAAATTGTTGTTATTTGGAAAACAATTTTAGAGTAATAATTTAGCAGAGCCATATATTAACAAATTTTTAAATTTATTTTGAAATTCGCTAGGAATAAATATTCTGGCTTCCTAAGCAAAACGAAGCAAAACTGTTCATTTCTATCCCCTTTTAGTTGTCTTTGAGTTTTCAAATCTAAGTTTGAGCTGGACCACCCAGAACTTTAAACATAGCTGTGTTGGTTGAAAAAATAATTAATTTTCCAAAAATAAAGGAATGAAGATGTTTTAGTTAATTAAGTAATTTTTATCCAACTTTCTCAGAGTAAATTGATCAAAGAAATTTAAATACCTTAACTTAGATCCGATGTGGGGAACGTGTTAAATAACATTTTGAAGTACTCAAATAGTCAGATTTGAAAACATGTTATAGGCACCTTTAAACATAAATATATTCTTTATAATCCTTCAATTTTTTTTCTTAGTAAAATATGTTTCATAAACAGTTTTCTGATGTTTTTATAATTCCAAAGTTCAATTAACAAATTACTTTTCTATTCAACAAAGTTTGTGAATCATTTTTGAAGAAGAAAGGAAAAAACGTCGAGAAATGAGTAGATTTTGTGAAATAAATGAAGTAGTTTATGTAATTGATTTATAAAATGTTCATACCAAGAATAAATAAATAATAACGCAAAAATCGATGCAATGTTTTTAGTACTCCCCAGCCTATTATTCGTATGAAACCAGAAGTAGTTCTAATTTCACAAATTTTATGTAAGGTCTCCTAAATTAAATTGACGATTTTCAAAAATTTATAGCACGAAAGCAATTAAGGTTAAAGGTCATGAAACTTTCCTTCCGAAGTCCGATTCCTGATTTTAGTTCAAAATAGTACGTGTACTACAGATATAAAACGTGTTAATCAGAAGGAAATAAAAAAAAATTACGCCACAATTTTTCGAAATTTTTTTTATTAATGAAAACTCCAAAATTTTCGAAGTATCGATTTTCAGCCACTATCACATGCCTTAAAGTAACATGTTGTGACGTGATTTTTAATTATGTTTCTTTGAATTACAGGTTTCCTATTCAGAACGATATTTGTCAAAAAATTCTTGAATAAAACCAGGAACTCTGGGGAAAAAAACCTGTTCTCTGGCACACAAGTTTGTTGCAAGATTTTTTTTTTTACCTTAAGCGTTTTGCCGTTATAATTTTTTTAAAAAACCTCCAGTTTAATTTAGGATACTCTATCTATCTATTTCATATTTAATTTGTAATAAGCGATAAATTTTTTTCTTCTTCAATAAGAATGGAAAAAATATATTATTTAGTTATAAATGTATCTAAGTATATCTTAAGTTCCCAACGCCGGCATTTTTGCTCCTCCCTTTTATAGCAGTGAAGACTTATGAGGGTTGTTTGGGATTTCTAGAGGGTCGTTAACAAACTATAGATTCAATTAGTGTTGTGTGCTGTTACAACTTATTGATATTTTGATTTGGAATCTAAGGATTATTTACATTTCTAACCTTCCATATAACGTTTGTTATTAAGCTTTTGTTTTTATGCTATTTTATTTTATAATTTTATAACCGTCGTTGCATAACCGCCCCAATTTTTTTTTTTGGATTTACGACTACTAATGTTCAACTCCGTAGCCTTGCAATTTTGTACCCAATCCCGAAGACAAGGGAAGTCCTGGGTCAAGTATTGGGAGAAATTTGCCTTCGTGAAGGACTTTTTGATGGAACTAACCCAAGTTTGAGTCACATGGCGAGAGAAACCTTCCATGGTTAGCCTGATGGCAAGGGGACTCTAACCCATGATTCGTCGACCACTGAGGATATTTTACATCAGTACCGGATTCTGAATTCGTATCGACCAGCCAATGTTGAGATTCGAACCCGGTTCACCTCATTGGAAGGCGAACGCTCTATCCCCTGAGCCATCACTGCTCCGAAAAAAACTTATAACGAAGGTAAAAAAATTATAATATCTACTTAATTTTAACGCGAAACAGTGCCTTGATTTTTTTTTTTTTTTGCCTTTGCGATTTCTCTAAATTTTGTGCAAAAAGCTGATATTCTTTGACTTGATTAAGCATGCAACTTAAAAAAAAATAATAAAATAAAAAAAATAATAAAATAAAAAAAATCAGAAATTTATTATTCGAGATTCCAAAAATAATTTAAATTTCTGTTCATTTTTTTTATCCTTTTAACTTTTTTTTAAAGATGTTTTGAATATATTTTTCGTTAACATATGTGATTTTTCTTTTGTTTAATAATTCAAAGGCTTGTTATCGAATCAACTTAGATTATCCTATTGTAAACTTAAATATAACTTTCCCGTTTTCGTTTTTGATTTGAAATATGTTCCATTCAGTATTTTCCGTACTAAGAAACACAGGACGATGGGGCGACCTAACATAACACTGATTATATTCAGAAATGATATAACTTATTTCTCATTTTTATAACATAACTAATTTAAACTGCAAAGCGATGTGTTGAATTTATTTTTATTTAAATAATTAAAAATTTCCCATATGAGTTATTTTCATCAAAACTAGTATAAAAAACATTACCAAACATTGGTCATTAGGTAAATTTTTCGATAACTTAAAGGTATAGTTTTCGAGGAGTCTAAAAACAAAAATCTTAAAAATCTTAAATTAAAATGGTTTATAAAATGTTCTATTATTAATTATTTCTTTTTATTATTTTTCTTTTTTAGAAAAAGGTATAAAAAGTTTTTTGATTTGCTAAGTGGGTGGTATTCCGAAAAGCACTATACTAATTCAGGTGTTTGCTAAAATTTTTAACGTTCCAAAAATGCTCAGCAAAAATTTTGAGGGGTTACATGGGTTTTAAATATTCAAAAATTTTGTTCTGTAAAATAATATTCTGTTTTCTCAGTAAGTATCTCGTCTAACAGTACAGCATGCAAGGAATACTTTTTCGGAGAATTAAGCCCAGGGGTATAAAACTCTGGGAAAGAGAGCCCTTGAAAGCTCTCCATATTTACTACTTTACAGTCGTACATATACAACTTGTACAGTCGTGAACAAAAGGAAAAAAAATAGTTGCGAATTCGGTGGACAAGATTTCTCAGAAATTAATGCAACGATCATATTGAAATTTTGCGTGTTTACTTCTAGTTAGAATTGTCTAGTGATTAAACAATTGAATTTTTTTTAGCATCATTTACTTTATTTAGCAATACACGATCTAAATTTTATTGAAAATCGTATTTCATTTTGCATTCAGCTTAGCTTTACTTAAATTTCGAAGTGAGTATTTGATTTCAGCTTCTTTTTATATTTTTTAAATTTTTCTTTATTATTAGTGATTTTAAAAGGTAACAAAACATTATTTAATTACTGTTTAATTTTAATTTTGTCAATTTTTGCAAATGTAACATTTCGTAAAAATTGAAATTAAAAGTTTAGTAAGAATAATACGATGTAGTATGATAGTCATCAGAAATTTCGCCAGAGATCAAAAATTTCAGAGTAAGGCTAAAAAAGGAAATTTTTATTCATTTTAGAATGGTTATTGTTGTGTATCTACCTCTACAAAAATATAATTCCAATTCACTAGTATATAAGACGTGATAATTCGATTCGATGGTGGGGTACCTTTTCATAGATGAAGGTTGACATGGTCGATAACTACTTTCCCCACAGTTGTTTAGAATTTATTAGAGAAGGGACGAAACACATATTTTTTATAATCATTTCTTTTACACTTGGTTATCAGATAGTTTTGCACTAAAGTATGAATTAGTTTTCACTATTCTCTGAAATTATCTCACTTTAAATTTTTGATGGCAATAGTTTTTCTCCATAGTATTCAGTTTTTTATTCTGATTTTTATCAAACAATAGAACTGAAATTATCACTTAAAATTTGGCATATATTCTTCTAATCTGTGAATGATTTTTAAATTTTATTGTTTAACTATCATTGCACCATTCACGTTTAAACC